CTATTCTGGCCTGCACCTTCTGAGTTGCCCCTCTAGGAGGTGCAGCACAGAACCTCAACCCAAATAACATTTAAGCTCGGATGTAAGATTTATGCTTCAAAAGAATTACAGTGTTTCCATAGTGCATGACTGCAGATAGGTTTTACTGCAATTCTACATCCCATAGAAAGTGACAGTGCTCCATCTAGCCCAGTATCCTGTCCCAAGAGTACCACGTGCTCTGGAGGAAGGTGCAAGAAATCTGAAGTGGGTATACATGGAATAATCTGTCCATAGTGGAAGTTTCTTTTAACTCTCTTTATTAGATTGGTTTATGCCCTGCAGCATGAGGGCTTATATCCCTTTCAGATTTTTGTTTCTCTTTTTTTTTTTTATTGTGGAAATAACAGAGTCAATGCTCCAACTAAAAAACGTCTTGCTATTTCAATTACAGTAAAATGAAACCAGGGATGGTGCTGTGTCCTGCTTTTCCAGTGCCTATCTAAAATTGGGATGAGAATGAGAGTAAACTTGTTTAGGTTTAATTCAGATCAGTCTGTACCTTAATGGGCACGGTCTACAATGACAATCTTTCTCAGGCGTCTCACAATTATTTTTTATTTTAATATTCTTTATTTTTTGCATTGTTCCTCCAAAAATATAACTATTGGGTACATGCCAGTATCTACCAGCTGGTTTTTAAAGTATACAGTCGTATAATCCCAGATGTTTATAGCTTTTCACTTTGCCCCCATATTTACGAATGTCTACAGAAACAATGTTTTGGAAATTCAAATTGACAAAGACGTCAGTTGGCACTGTTGGCTACTAATGTCCATTTAACTATTACCAAATCAGCCCTGGTGTGTCCTCCTCTCCTTGTGACAGGAAATATCTCTAAAACTGACTCATTTTAATGGCGCCATTGGATGACAGAAATAATGAGAAACATCTGACTGGACACATTAGTTTAATTAATACATATTTAAAATAACATTCTTCAGGGGTATGTGCCATATGGCCAAACCAGAAAAGGAGTTTACCCTTCAGAGTGTTGAGTACCCTCAACTTCCATTAAAAGCTTTGGAAATTGAGAGCCCTTAAACACCTTACAGGAGCCAATTGGCACATCATGGGATTGGATCCATATGTCTATAATTCCAGCAGGCATGATGAAACCACATGAAAATTCAGAAAGTAAAGGCTTCTTTACATGTAATATAACTTTTTTACAGTTTTTGATTAAGACTTGATTTAGACCAAAGATCAGAAAAATATGCAATGCAGAGAAGTTTGAGAAACAGCTGCACTATTGTGCATAATGCTTTGCTCAGTCCATACACTTGTATACAAACATAAGAATGGCCAGACCGGGTCAGACCAATAGTCTACCTAGCCCCATATCCTGTCTTCTGACAGTGGCCAGTGCCAGATACTTCAGAGGGAACGAACAGAACAGGGCAATTACTGAGTGATCCATTCCCTTTCGTCCAGGCCCAGCTTCTGACAGATACAGGTTTAGGGACATGGGGCAGCCCAGGGCATGGGGTTGCATCCCTGACCAGCTTGGCTAATAGCCATTGATGGACCTATCCTCCATGAACTTACTTAATTTTTTTTTAACCCAGTTATGGCCTTCAAAACATTCCTTGGCAATGAGTTCCAGAGGTTGACTATGCATTGGCTGAAGAAGTACTTCTTTATATTTGTTTTAAACCTGCTGCCTATTAATTTCATCAGGTAACCCGAGGTTCTATTGTTATGTAAAGGAGTAAATAACACTTCCCTATTGACTTTTTCCACGCCATTCATGATTTTATAGATTTCTATCGTATCTCCCCCTTACAGTCCTAGTCTTTCTGAAAATCCAAATTCACTTTATAAACTGGATCACCCTTGTCCACATGCTTTTTGTCCCCCTTGAAGAATTCTAATAGATTGGTGAGGCATGATTTTTCTTTTTTCTATGTTGACGCTTCCCCACCTACGTGCAGGGATGAAAAGTAACTTAAAAGACTTATCGGTACTCCAGAGTCCTGAGCAGGGGGCATGGCCTCGACTGGAAGAGGCATGGCCTCGACCGGAAGATGCATGGCCGGGGCCTTTAAATCACCCCCAGAACTACCAGCTGCAGAGGCAACTGGGAGCCCAGGGGCTCAGGGGTGCTTTAAAGGGCCCCAGGTTCCGTCCGCCACTACCACAGTGGAGCTCCAGGTCCTTTAAATCACCGCCGGAGCCCTGCCACTGCTACCCTGAGGCTCCAGCAGCAGGGCTCAGGGGGCCCTTTAAAGCACCTCCGGAGCCCTGCCGCCGGTACCCCAGGGGCTTCGGCAGCGGAGCTCAAATGTTGTGAGACGCACAATTGAACTGTGAGAGTTGGCAACACTTAGACACCAGGGTAAAAGTGGAGTAAATGAGATAAAAATCAGGCTATGTGAGTGCAGTCTCTCACATGCCCTCATTCCATCCGTTCCTTCATTCACTTACTCTCTCTCTCTCCTCGCTCTACCTTAGCTCAGTCTCCTTCCTTATCCATTCCATCTCCCACATTGATTATTTCTACTACTCACTCTGCTGCAGTTTCCACGGTATACATCTGATGAAGTGAGCTGTAGCTCACGAAAGCTCATGCTCAAATAAATTGGTTAGTCTCTAAGGTGCCACAAGTACTCCTTTTCTTTTTGCGAATACAGACTAACACGGCTGTTCCTCTGAAACCTTTCTTTTCACTGTTTCCCACCCTTTCCTTCTCCCTCATTTCATGCAGGGCCGTCCCTACCCACATGCAAAATACACAGCTGTGTAGGGCACCAGGATTTTGGGGCACCAAATTTCCTGGTGCCCTACGCAGCTGCGTGCTGCTCCAGCCCCTGCTCCACCTCTTCTCCATGGCTCCCATCCCTGCTCCGTCCCAGCCCTGCCTCTTCCTGCACCAGCCCCACCCCCACTCCACCCCTTCCCCAAAGCCCCTGTCCCTGCTCCACCTCCACCCTCACTCCCCTGATGACTGCAGCAGGGGTTGTGCCTGCACTCACTGGTGGCGGTAAGTGGAGTGACCTGACCCCAGCCCGCTCTGCTCTGCCGGCTCCCAGCCGCATCACCGGTCAGTGCTGGGGAGTGGTTCCCCCCCTGCCCCCCAAGGCAGGGAGCCCAGGGAGCAGAGCAGAGTGGGCTGGGGCCGGGTTGCTCCACTTCCCGCCGCCCCATGAGTGCGGGGTCAGGCCTGCCCTGCACTCACTGGGCGACAGGAAGGGGAGCGACTCGGCTCCAACCTGCTCCGCTCCACCGGCTCGTGCTGGGGGGTGATTCCCCCCTACCCCCCAAGCCTGTTCCTGCCCCCCACGGAGGCCTGGGCCCCCCCTTGCAGGGTGTGTGGGGGCTGCGTAAGGCACCAAAACGGCTAGGGATGGCCCTGATTTCATGGTATATGCCTGTGTGTGAAAGACAGGGAAAGAAAGAGAGAAGAGAAAAGGGAAGAGAGAGAGAGAAGGACATGGTGAAGTGGAAGCCCTGGAGCCTGTTCCTACTTCCCACAGCTAGTGGCACCAAAAGTGGTGCTATATAAGGTAGTACACCGGCCACCGACAGTACCTGGAGGCGTGAGCCGGAGCGACATCGTGCATCAACTACAAGAAAGGGACCGACTGTCCGTTGGACCATATAAACTGGAACCATAAACTCACTGAACATTAAATCTCACCAAATGAGGGTCAATCCGTCATCATCATCGTATCCACTCATTATACTCCACACCTGAACATAGCCATTATATGAACAACATACCCTCATATCTCAATGTGTGTACTTTAACCCGTTAATCTTTTACCCCCAATCTGGGATATTGCAGTTTTTGTATTCCTTACGCCATCTGATCTTAAACCGAACTTCGCACCCCTTGATAATCTGTACGTTATTCTCTGATACCCAGAAACATCTACACTTAAATTCTGTACCGTTCCCTTTTTTTTTAAAAAACATCATCTTAATAAAATGCTTATATCTGAGCAGCAGGCACCTGTCTGTATTTGCTGCATCCCAGCAGGGTGCAGGCAGCCATGCAAATGCCCTATTTAGAGAGGATCCTGATTTTGAAGAATCCTGGAGAACAAGCAACCATAATATTCAGCTGGTTTTGATAAAAATTGACAGTGTAGGGCTCAAGAGAAATACTTTTCTTGGTCTGTCGTCTCTAATACCAATATTGATTACAGGGCTGGAGGACTAAATTAAGAATAAAGATTAAAAGAACCCAATGTAGATAATTTGAAATGAAGCCTAAAATGGAGGGCATAATAATTATCAACAGCCATTTAAAAATGTAAACACAATGAAGGGAACAAAAGTATTCAGAGTACTAAAAGGAGCTGTAATTAGGAGTAGTGGTATATTAAAGAGAAAATATCTTTTTCTTATATAGACTCCTATTATCCTCCACTCACTGTCCTGATTTTTCACAATTGCTGTCTGGTCACCCTACTTCATTCTCTCTCACACACACACAGTGGGGGTGGGCTGTAGGCAGGAAGAGTTCAAAAATCAAAAGACAAACCGCAGACAAATGTTAATCTTTAACACACGCCCCCCCCCCCCCAAAAAAAAAACAAACCCGCATGATTTTTTCTCTCTTGAGGTTGGCACTGCCGGGTAGAACCGTGTGTCATCTGCGCGTTGCTGGCACTTGTGTCCTTGTTGTCAGTTTGCCAACTGTCTATGAACAAAGTGACTTGCCCAAGGTCACTCAGGAAACCCGTGGTAGCGCCAGGAATTGAATCCAGTTCTCCTCACGCCCAATCCTCTGGCCACTGGACCATCCGCCCTCTCCCCACACTGGGGAAGCTTCTGGCCAACAACACAAAACTCTTGTTATTTGAAAACACACCCCTGTAGACGTGTCCCTCTCACTCTACCCGCGCTAGGCATGAAGGCACCAGCTAGCTCCCGCTTGCACAGCATGAGGCCAGGCCTCCCCTAGGGGAATCGATCCCGGAACCAGTTTCCTTGGCTACTGTTTCCAGGCGGAAAGTTGAGGAGACGGACCCACGCCCGGAGGGGGAGCGCTTAGGGGCGAGGGCACGCCGCTCTCTGAGCCGCCGAGATGTGGAGCCGCGTCTCTGCCGTCGGGAGCCGCACGCGCGGCGCCTGTCGCTGCCGCCTCCTCCTCGCCCTCCCCCGGGGCGCCCAGGAGCAGGGGCCGGGCAGGTGAGCTCCCTGCGTGGGGCGGGTCCCTGAGCGCGGGTCGGCGAGGCCGCTCCGGGTGCCGAGGTTTGTCAGCAGCGGCCCCAAGGCCGCGCTCGCAGTGAGACGGACCCGCCTGAAACGCGGGCCGGGCCGGGCCGGCCGCGCCCGAACCCCGAGGGCCCGAGCTGCGGCTTTCGGGGGGGGGGGGTGACTGAATTGGCGGGGACTCGCCTCTGCCGGCGGGCAGAGGTGCAGGGTCACGCCCCGCCTGGGCGCCCGCGGCTTTTAACAAGCGGCCGCCGGAGAATTGTGGTGTTCTGCCTCCCAGCGCTCCGGGGAGCCGTTTGCAGTTTTCTCGGTGCGGTCCCATCCGCCGCTGGCTGACAGCCCAGGCCCACTCCACTGACTTCAGTGGGACTCAGTGGGCAGAGCCGGATTGTGAGAGTTGGCGGGTCTTTGTGTGGCTTTTTTTATAAAGCAAGAACCGGGCAGGTTGGTCTCTAAGGTGCCACAAGTACTCCTGTGTGTGTTTTAACCGGGCAGGTGTATTTTCTGAGACTACTTTCAACTCGTTTTCTGACCTGGATTTCAAGTGAACGTAGTTTAAGTCCAGAAGGGACCATTAGATCATCTAGCCTGTTTGCCTATATACCATAAGCACTTAAATGTCATTGTTACCTCGGTATTGAGCTCAATAGCTTGTGTGTGGCTGAAGCATAATTGTGTGTGGCTAAAGGATCTCTCCCAGAAAGGCATCCAGTCTTAGTTTGGAGACACAAAGAGACTCTTCCCTTGTTAGTTTATTCCAGTGGTTGCTCATCACCCACTTTCAAAAAAATTTGTTTTATTTCTATTTTGAGTTTGTCTGACTTCAGCTTCCTGCCATTGTTTTTTTTTTTTTAATGCTTTTCTTCACTAGATTAAAGAGCTCTTTTGAACCCACCATTTTCTCCCTCTGAATTATCCACTGTAATCAAGTCACTTCACAATCTTCTTTTTTATAAGCTGAACAGACTGAGCTCTCTGTATGTCACTGGAAGTCCCATGAATCACTTTTGTGGCTCTTTTCTTCACCCTCTCTTTTTTCACATTGTTTTTAAACTGTGGACACCAGAACTGTCCACAGAATTCCAGGCAACAGTGCACCATATACAGAGGTAAAATCATCTCCCTTCTTCTACTCACTACTTCCCTATTTCTACATCTGAGGAACACCATTGGCTCTTTTTGCCGCAGCATCACAATGGGAACTCATGTGGAGTGTTGCTTCTTAACTATAACACCAAAATCTTTAAGGTGTTTGTCCTCACAACGATGGGGAAAGTACTAGTATCCCCATTTTTACAGATGTGGAACTGAGATACAGAGAGACTAAAGGCTTATTCTAAACCAGAAGTTATACAGGTAATTGGTATGCTGTGAATTTATACCCCTATATTTATACCCATATCAGTCCCGGAGTGGACACTCCTTATGTTCTCTCTGATTTAGCCCCTATTGCTTTGAAAGCAGTTTAGGGTTTAAAATGCTGCTTAAGTACCAGCTCTACTGGGCTTATGATACTAGAGATGTAATGAAGTGTTTTCAAGGGCTGCTGGCTTACTTCATGTCATTTTCTTTCCCACCCCTCAGTGTCATTTGTGACAGGTCTTCTCATCCAAGGCAGTAGACTTCTCAATGAGCTGGTAGTGCTGCTAGAGAATGGGGCTGCACATTTTTAGCATCCATCCACTGTTGGTGTCAGTTGTTATGTAGGTTATCGTATACAAAAGTAAAAAACTATCATGTCTCTCCTTCTATCTTGTGATGCCAAACTGCTATATATATTTGTGGTCTCACCAGCACTTAAAATATGTGTGTGTGAGCAATAAAGCAATGCTGTCTGTTGGTACAGATGTATGCTCAAAGCGTTGGATAAAAATTAGCATGGTTTGGAAACTAGTATATTTTACAGGGCACTGGAGACATTTAACCACTTCCAATAAGAATTGTATTGTATTGTTTTTTTTACTTCAGAACTACCTGTTTTCTGTCTTGAATGAAATACGTAAGCAAGGTAGCCTAATAATACAAGGATATCCTCTTTTTGAACAGTTTTTGAACATTTGGAGGGTATTTTGAAGAACTGATAATGCAAAGTATATAACATAGTAGTTATTGTAAATGACTACAGCTTTCCCATGTTGATTTCTAAATTGCTCCTAATGCTTCATGCAGGGAGAAAATAATTACTTCCAATAAGTAATGCAAAATGAGCTGATAGGAAAAGATGCTTTTTGGGGGAAAAATTATGGAGAGACTGAATTGTAGTGGATAATAGCAAAGTCTGCTTGGTGTAAGTCAGAAGGCTTTCCACAGCCTAATTAACAGAGTTGTGAAGTGTTACTTAGTTTAGTTTTTTTATTCACAACATGCTTTTTTCACTGAAGGTGTTGGTTTATGCCTGTTTAATTTTCTCTATAGTATACTAATGTTTGGAACATATGTAGGTGCTTTTAAGCAGTCCATGAATCATAGAATATCAGGGTTGGAAGGGACCCCAGAAGGTCATCTAGTCCAACCCCCTGCTCGAAGCAGGACCAATTCCCAGTTAAATCATCCCAGCCAGGGCTTTGTCAAGCCTGACCTTAAAAACCTCTAAGGAAGGAGATTCTACCACCTCCCTAGGTAACGCATTCCAGTGTTTCACCACCCTCTTAGTGAAAAAGTTTTTCCTAATATCCAATCTAAACCTCCCCCACTGCAACTTGAGACCATTACTCCTCGTTCTGTCATCTGCTACCATTGAGAACAGTCTAGAGCCATCCTCTTTGGAACCCCCTTTCAGGTAGTTGAAAGCAGCTATCAAATCCCCCCTCATTCTTCTCTTCTGCAGGCTAAACAATCCCAGCTCCCTCAGCCTCTCCTCATAAGTCATGTGTTCCAGACCCCTAATCATTTTTGTTGCCCTTCGCTGGACTCTCTCCAATTTATCCACATCCTTCTTGTAGTGTGGGGCCCAAAACTGGACACAGTACTCCAGATGAGGCCTCACCAATGTCGAATACAGGGGGACGATCACGTCCCTCGATCTGCTCGCTATGCCCCTACTTATACATCCCAAAATGCCATTGGCTTTCTTGGCAACAAGGGCACACTGCTGACTCATATCCAGCTTCTCGTCCACTGTCACCCCTAGGTCCTTTTCCGCAGAACTGCTGCCTAACCATTCGGTCCCTAGTCTGTAGCTGTGCATTGGGTTCTTCCGTCCTAAGTGCAGGACCCTGCACTTATCCTTATTGAACCTCATCAGATTTCTTTTGGCCCAATCCTCCAATTTGTCTAGGTCCCTCTGTATCCTATCCCTCCCCTCCAGCGTATCTACCACTCCTCCCAGTTTAGTATCATCCGCAAATTTGCTGAGAGTGCAATCCACACCATCCTCCAGATCATTTATGAAGATATTGAACAAAACCGGCCCCAGGACCGACCCTTGGGGCACTCCACTTGATACCGGCTGCCAACTAGACATGGAGCCATTGATCACTACCCGTTGAGCCCGACAATCTAGCCAGCTTTCTACCCACCTATAGTCCATTCATCCAGCCCATACTTCCTTAACTTGCTGACAAGAAGACTTACTTTGCTTAATATGTCAAAATGCTGAGACTGAAAATGTTGAGTGAGTGTGCAAAATATTCTGATGGATATGTGTGGCAATTGTGGTACTTTTGTTTTCCTAGAGTTCTAATGTGTTTACCTAGCAGACCTTAGTGGCTGATTTTCTGGTAAGGTTCTGAAGTTATCTGGTTTTCCAGTAGCCTTAACAAAGGCACAAGGTCACAAGACTGTTACAAGGTCCTGGTGTATACCTCAGCACAAAATGAAGCCCACAATTTGTCATAGTTATCAACCTGTTGTGGTTGTCTAACATCTCAGCATACTGTTTAGTGCAGAGTTACTTGTTGCCTTTCGATTCAGTTCATTCATGGAGAAAAGAAAGCTGTTTACATTATATCGCAGAAACCATAAAGACCTGCCTTCAGAGTAAAATTGTACATTTAAGTTACCCAGTTCAGTTTGTGCAAAATTAGGCCCAGTCAGTTATGACTAACAAAGCGGTTCTGTGTAAATTATACCTTTTCCCTTCCTATCTTGTCTAGTAAAACACAAAAGTGCTTTAGCACCAGCACTGGGTTCTACAACAAGGAAGATGAATCTGCCACTTCTACAGACAGTAGTGCTGAGAAGGCTTCAGAGAATCAGGAGAAGACAACACCAGGAAATGCAAAGAAGAATTTGTTGAACATTATTAGTGAAATGAAAGTAGAATTAAGTTCAAAGAAGAAGTTCCAGATCCTAAAAACACGGAAGACCAAGGAGCAGACCAATGACCAGCCAGAAAGTATGGAGAGTGCAAGTAGCATGTTTCAGAAAGCTACAGCAGACAGTAAAGCTAAGAGGTAAAATGCAATATGCACAGTTCAAGTGTGTGTTCTTTGAAGTGGACTCTATTAATCTCTAGGACAAAATAGTAGCATAAAATGTCTTTTTCTTTGTATAGAAAAGAATCCTCTATGGGAACAGTCCTTTTGCTAATGGTACAGCTGTACCCTGCAAAAAGCAATAACAAATGGAATGGTTGCACTAAGCATGTATATTTACTCCATACTTGTATTCCTGGAATTGAAGCCTCAAAATGAAACGTTACTAGCTATCCAGAGAAAATCAATTTAAGGGGAGTGCGGGAATTTTCCCTTTTGAAATGCCATTACTCAGTTATGAGAAAATAAAATCTGGGAAAAGAAAGAAGTTATATCTCCTTTTAATTGCCTCTCTTTGCACACAATTGATCATATACAGCTTACTTATTAAAAATGTAAACATGCAGCTAAACTCAGTTGTTCAGTTACAGTCTGAGAAAATCTTTCCTCTGAATAACTGCATACTTACAGAAATGTATACTCCTGGGGGAATTCTGCACCCTGCAGCGGGCACAGAATTCATACCTTCTGCAGATTTCTTGGCTCCCCTGCAGAAAAATGGAGGAACCAAGAAATCTGTGAGAAACACATGCCCCTTCCGTGGCAGCCTGGCTGCCTCTGCTGGGAGCAGCTGGCAGCAGATCACCATGGGAGGGGAGGAGGAGAGACATTAAAGGTGTGGGGATGGGCTCCTGCCTTAACGTGAATGAGTGAGAGAGACTCAGGGCATGTCTTCACTCGCCTGTGGCTTGTGTAGTCATGGCATAGCGCTGGGAGAGAGCTCTCCCAGCGTTCTAAAAAAAACCACCCCCAAGAGCATGGCTCCCAGCGCTGGTGCACTGTCTGCACTGGCACTTTGCAGTGCTCAGGGGTGTGTTTTTCACACCCCTGAGTGAGAAAGTTGCAGCGCTGTAAAGTGCCAGTGGAGACAAGGCCTCACTCTGTCCCTCTGGTTGCTGTTGCTGCGTCCTGGGCTTGGAGGGAGGCACAGGGCTGTGTGAAGCAGGGTCTGTCTCTGAGGCAGAGCAGAGATGTAACAACTAAAGGGGCAGGCTGCTAATGTTCCCATTGTTAATTAATTGCTCCTGTTATTCAGTTAAGACTCCTTTACCTTGCCAGAGTGATGTAAAGGAACCTTATTGCAAATGACAGTAATGGAATTCTCAGCTAGAAAGGTCTGTGTGCTTTCTAACTCTTTTTCCTGTGCCAGAGAGGCACAATGGGGTTGGATTACTGCTCAGGATCTATTTTACTTACCCATTTAAAAAAAAATGCAGGACCGTGATTAGCAAAACTGTATGACTTTCATGTGTGAAAGTCTGAGCAATTTAAAGAGACAGTCTACTTTACAGACCACCAAAGTAAAAGTAATATCTTTGAAATGAAAATCCAGGATTATAACTGCAATGCAGGGTCTTGGTTACCAGGTATTTGTAACTTAACTTTCATGTGTTTAGAAAATGCTGAACAGTTACTGTGATGGTGTTTGTTTTTTTTTGGGGGGGGGGAGGGGGGAGTGTATGGTAGTTTAAATATATTACCAAAGTAAGTGAAACTGGTGTGATTATATTGCATTATTTTGACAAATAAAATATGCAGAATTTTGGATTTTTTGGTGCAGAATTCCCCCAGGAGTAAATATATTGTCACTATCTATTGGGATAATGCTTAACAAAGGGAAATCTTTACACCTAAACATAGTGGTTAAAATCATGCCAAATTGGTAAAGGAACAGTAGTCATAGTTAAATCATACCTATGAGATATACGAAAAAAAGGGTTTTTTGTCTGTGACTAAAAATCCTATCTCAGTAGCAATCTTTTATACTCTTCTCTTCAGGAGTTGATTGGTAGCTGTGCCTTAATGACTGCTTTATTTTTTCCATTTATAGCTGACACTGTGTATAGGTCTTGGCATTATAACTGTACTCTGTTTAGGAAGGGTTGAGCAAAGCTTTTTTTTTTTTTTTTTTTAAAGCTTTTCTGATGGTTGTTCAGTGACATTAGGCTATCCCTACCTTGATTTAAGAACACCAACTCCGCAGTGCCACTCAACCTCTAGCAGTTTTGTGCAGCAAGAGACAAACTTGGGCCTCTTCTTTGATAGCATATAACTATTACCTGTAAGTCATTAAGACGTAAAATAACCCATTACAATAAAAAATGGCTTGTGGAAAAAATGACGCATAGATCTTGATTTTTATGTTTTTCACCTCTTGTCTCTTACAGGAGCAAGCCTCTCAATCCAGAATTGGTGGAAGCTGCCTCTGCTGTTGCATCTTCCTTACCTTTTGACAGGAAACGGACAGTATCAGATTTACTTGCACAACTAAGAAAGCATGAAGAAGCCACTGATGCACAGAAAAGAGGGGAAACGACTAACATAAGGTATGTAGATTGAATATTCCCCAGTAGTGCTGACGCCTCTGATATTACACTGTCAAATTTAAGGTGGTTGAGGACTTTATATCCGAAAAACTGCTCTAAAAAGACATGCTTGAGCATGTTATCCTTCTTTAAAAAGCTAATCACTGAAGTGCGGTAGTCTTTGTACTAAATTCCTTCTGTAACTTTCAAGTCATCCAGCTTGCATCCTTCCTCTAGAGCAGCCTTTCAAAATTCTAGTGTCTGCTTTCTCAAGGGTGGTTGGTTGGTTGGTTTTTTTTTTTTTTTGGATGGGCTAATAAAAGTATCATTAGATTTATTTTTGGTAATCTTCATCAACCATCACTAAGATAGAAAGTCTGAAAGTTCATCTGTATGGACTGGTAAATTTTAATGGCTGTTTTTGAAAGCTGCACTAAGTAAAGCAAGCTCTATTTATAGTCCCACCCTACCCTTCAAAAATTTCCAGGCAGCCCAATAAACTCATCCCTTGGCACATTTCCTTTATTTGTGGCTTCCAGCCAGGCAAACAACACTTATTTGGAAACTGTGAAGGAACCGTGTATACTGCCCTTTTGTTTGGTGATGACAAAAGACAGGCTGCTGACTTCTGCTACTTTCAATGTAGCAGCTCAGAAAATGCTGACTAAAAAGCAGAAAACTGGATCTTCAGCAACTGAGAATGTGGAAGCCTGTGATTATGCATGTTTGCAGTAACAAACTACAAGTAGTTTATAGATTTATTTTTTAATATGTCATATGAAAATAACTAGATTTGGGGCAAATTCAGATAAGGAATTAATGGTAAAGTGATAGGAAATGTGGATTCATAAGACTGATGAAAAGTTATTTGTGGGGTTTTATAGGGATTAGTTATAGGGCCTTTTGTGTTCAGTAAATATACCGATTAGTAGCAGAGAAAGTAGCCAACAGCGTTAATATTTGCTGCTGATACATGCCATTTCCATCAGTGAAAACTAAGGAGGATTGTGACACAGTCTAGATGGTTACAAATAAACAAAATGGTGGGGAAGCACAATGGTAGATGAACGTTAACCTTGTTAAATATAAGGTAATGCATATTCTTGAGAGAGTGTCTGTGGGAAAGAGAGAAACTATGTAACCTTGCCATACAGGTAGATGAATTCGTAATTCTCAGTCAAAAGAACTAGGGGTTATTGTGGACAAGTAAATGAAGTTCTCTCTCCAGATGCTTAGAAGCTTGGGTGCATTTAAAAAAAGTGATGGTGGAAACTAATAAGACATTAGATAATGCACAATGGTATACATTTTCCTGGAGTAATATGTTTAGGTTACATTTCCGTTGAGAGGAGAGGACCTAAAACATCCAGAGAAGGTTGATAGAAATGGCTAGAGATGCTGTGGGTATTGCATCCCTTTGGATTATTTAGGTCAGTGGTTTTCAACCTTTTTTCTTTTGCAGACCCCTAAAAAATTTCAAATGCAGGTGCAGACCAGTGTTCCCTCTAATTTTTCCCACACATGTGCAGAATGAATTTTGTTATGTGCATCAATATGGAGGTGATGTGTGACACATCACCTCCATATTGCTGTACATAACAAAATTCATGGGGTGGGGATGGGGCCAAGGGGTTTGGAGTGGGGCTCAGGGCTGGGGCAGAGGATTGGGGTCTGGGGCAGGGGGTTTGAGGGCTCCAGGGTGGGGCTGGGGCAGAGGGTTTGGTGCAGGGGGGTGAGGACCCTGGCTGGGGGTGGGGCTCTGGGGTGGGGCCGGGATGAGGGGTTTCGGGTGCAGGTTGTCCAGGGGCTACGGCAGGGTGACAGGACCCCCTGCAGCAGCACCTGGGCTGAGGGAGAGGTGCCTCTCCTGTAGCAGGTCCATGCTGGGGCTGGGGGAGGGTTGCCTTTCCCCCGACTGCTGCAAGTCCAGGCAGGTCCATGCTGGGGCTGGCGGGGAGAGCTGCCACTCCCCACAGCGGCAGGTCCTTGCTGGGGAGAGAGGCATCTCTCCCCATCCCAGCCCTGAGCCTCTGCGTGGGGCTTAACAGGCAGCTGTGCAGCTCAGAGGGAACTTAGGTGCGGACCCTTTTGGGAAATCTTCAACATAGTCTGTGGACCACCAGGGTCCATGGACCACAGCTTGAAAATCATTGATGTAGGTGAAGGAGTTAAAGGAGATTTGACTGAGCTGTGTAAAAAACTGATCATTTTCTCCATTTAGTTCTTTTATAGCCTTAAGGAAAGGCTAAAGGAAATACTCTTAAGTTAAGATGAACAAACAAGGCAATATTTCTTCCTATTTTGTATTGTGAACATGTGGAATTCACTGCTGCTGGAGGTTGAGACAAAGCTTGTGGCTGGATTTGAATGGATTGCTAATTGCTTGCAACTAGGGCTTGATTAAATTTACCAGACTCCTACTAGCCAGTGATAGATTTAAAAGAGGCCCCACAAGTAAGGCTTTGGGCAATGCTCTGGTGAGAAGCCCAGCACTCCTTGCTACAAGCTGCTGGGAAGGATACTTGTTCCTTGGTCCTGTTTGGGGTGTGAGGAGGTTCTGTGTTTAGCATAGAAGCTGTACTACCCTCCACCTACTGGAAAGGAGAGGGAACTTTGGTCTTTACTCCTCATCAAGGTCCTCTGGCTTCCCTAAGTGGGTAGGGTGTTCGCTCTTCCTTCCAGGAGCTGTGAGAAGTAATAGCTATACTCTACTGTACCATTCCATTTTTTTTATAATCTCTGCTGTTCCTAAGTAATAGTTCCAGAGCTTGCTGTTCTGCTGCTCATAGCTTTCCCAAGTAACAGCAGCAACATGAATTTGACAGTTTCACTGCCTCCTACAAAGTTCTGAATAGAAGCAGTGAAAGCTAACTAGAATCTAGTTAATTACATTCTGCTGCTGCTTAGTTTAACTAAGAATTACCAGAGGCACCAGAACAGTCTGTGGTTTGGAAGACACTGCTATATTAGTGAGCATTTCATTCACATTTTTAAGATTAACTTCAGTCGTCATTATTATTATTTATATTACTTCCTTTGTAGTGGCATCTAGAGAGATCAGGCCTCAATGTGCTAGATACTATATACACAGGATGAAAAGTTGGTTTCTGCCTCAGAGCCTTTTCAGCCTAAGTAAAAGGGTTTGAAACCGTTTTTTTTTTTTTTCTCTTTTTTTAAATGAAAGCTTGAGTCCTGCAGAAAGTGAGAGCTGAGGTCCCCACACTGGCCAGTGGAAGCTCTGTACTCATTCATAAGTGGATTTTTCAAGCCCTGCTTGCCATGTGTAAGAGAACTCATTATAAGGGTTTAGAAGACATGGTTTTCCTCCCCCACCCCACGTATTCAGCGTTGTACAATTGGCTGGGTGCAATATGGCTGGATTACCTTTTTTTTTTTTTTTTTTTTTTTTTTTGAAGCATCAAGTGTTGGTTGCTTCTGAGACAGGATACTGGACTAAATGGACCACTGGTCTGAGACAGTAGATACTTTATGTAAAACACTTGAAATACCTACACAAGCAAAAGAACCGTACAATATAACATTGTTACTATAAATCAGAATGTTGTTCAGATTTACAAGGAGGTATTAAATTATAATAAAGATGATATAATTATAGCCAAAAAGTCTTAGCTTATATTGTGCTTTGCATACATTCTGCCCTCTGGGTGTCACTGTTGTACAGTTTTCTCCCATCAGTTTGTTTTGTAGACATACTGAGGACAGCATTTCCACAAGAAGGGGGGAAAAAATTAATGATACAGGATTTTTTTTTTTTTTTAGTGCGGGAAGAAGTTTTGCTTAATGGAAATTACAACACCACCATAGGAAAATAAATTCAGCAATATTAAACATTAGAATTAAATAAACAGAAGGAAAGGAATTCCAAGCTAAAGCTAAAATGCACCCCGAATTCTCCTTCTCTTGTTTTTTAACCCATGTAGTGCACATGATCATTCCTGTTCAGATGTATCTGCAATACTTACCGTGGATTGGATGGAGTTTCAGTTGTTGTGGAAGGAAGTCAAGCCACAAATATCTTTCTGGTTTTGTTTTTGGTTAATTTCTTGTTTCTTTTCCAACGTGTTAGAGGAAATGTGTATCGGATGAACGACATGATTGGCATAATACCATGCAATCACTTGTTTTAAAAACTATTATGAAAACGTATTTGCTCACCTTTCATGCATCAGTGACACAAGATTAGGACCCTAGCTCTCCAAAATTGTGACACTGTGGGCTTTGTGTGTTAGATGCCCAGCATAGCCAGAAGAAAGTTTGGCCAGTTGTGCAAAACCTCAAAGAGAACTGCTCAGAGGGAGTGTGATCTCCATATAGTAGAACAACATTCTGTCATTTTAGCGTGCTTGCCAAGTAAAACAGTTGGACTGGGCAGTCTGTGACTTTACTTCTGGCAAGGGGAAGACTGCATGATGCTAGTCAGACCCTCAGAAAACTTGTGAATTTTCTGGATCAACTCTAGGTCATAAATGCCAAGAATAACAAAAGTTCAGTTCTTCTGCATCTCTCTCACTTTACTAATTATTTTCTGTTAATGTTAATGTCAGATTTAAAATTAACCATAGAAAATCAAGGTTCTGAACATTTTAGGGCATCTTTTTGTTAGTAGTTACTTTGAAGAGCTCTTCTGATATAAACCATCCAAAAGAGAATGTTTAAATATGTTTTCTGACACTCTTCAAGCATTGCAATGGTGGAAATATATATTGCATTTAGGTATCCAAAGCTTGCGTTCGTGACCTAATTTCTGTTCTTTAATACCACACCTGTTCCCTTGAAAAGAGGCTTTTATCTCGTAAAACTCATACACTGTATTTGAACTGATTTTTATAGTTTTCACTTGCACTGTCCCAAAATCTAATAATGACTTTTGGCTTTTAACAGTCCCTCTCCCTAAAGGCATAGACACAACTTTATATCTAAAGAGTTCTGTCACCATAACTACAATCCTTGTTGAGGGTAATAACCAGTGCGAATTGACACACATATATGGCCAAGATTCTCCAATTTTTATCAAAATAATAATACTAAGGTGTTGCATTTAGATCTCATGCCCTGACAATAATTGAAATGGGGGAAACAACAGCAGCCCTGAAAAGTCATTAGTTTTCCCACCTCCCATTAGGACATCATCTGGCCAAGGCCTACCAAACCTTCCTAAGCCAAAGACCTGACTGGAGCTCCCTAACTCCCAAGAGATCGACAGACCCGTGGTCCCATGCAAACTACTGCTTGCTGCACCTTTCATTAAAAGTTCAGGTGCTCTTACAGATCTTTGCCATACACCCACCTTCCCATGCTAATGGAGGTTATCTTCTAGTTTCTTAATCAAAATGTTGTGCAGTACCAAAAAGACATCTAAGTATATTATGTTGACACTTTCTTTTTCACCCAAACTTGTAATCTCGTATAAAAAAGAAAAATCAAGTTAATTTGACAAGATCTGGTTTCCGTAAACCCTTGTTGAATGGCATTATTTATATTACCTTCGTTTAATTCTTGATTAATCAAGTCCCTTATCTGTCATTCCAGTATTTTGGCCAGGGTCTATTTCAGGCTGACAGACCTATAATTAATTACCTGGTTCATCCCATTGACCCGTTTTAAATACTGGCACAATGTTCTCTTGCCTTTCTTCTAGAACAGTGGTTCTTAACCTTTACTGCAGCCTGCACCCCTTCAGTTCTCCAAATATAGTCTCGCACCCCTTTTAAAAAATCACTGAAGTAGGTCAGTTCTTTAAACCTAGATATGTTTTTTGTTTGTATATTACAGTAATCGTTAAATGTATAATGTGAATAAATACATAGGTTTGATGAAACAAAGTAGTTGTACTTACGTGCCTGTGCTTAATTCGTGTTTTCGATGATTTACCTAATAATCTGGCATGTCTCGCACCCCCAGAAAGGACATCTCGCACCCCCTGGGGGTGCGTGCACCCCCAGTTAAGAACTACTGTTCTAGAACTTTCCCAGTGTTCCAAAAGTTACTGAAAATCAATATTAGCAGACCAGAGAGCTCCTCAGTCAGTTATTTTAAAATCTCAGATGCAAGTTATTTGAACCTGTTGATCTAAAAATATCTAACTTTTAGTAGCTGTTGTTTCACATCCTCCTCGGCTACTGTTTAAATGGAAAGTATTCTGTCATTGTGACATAACTACATCATCTGGCTTTTTCTCAAATACAGAACTTCTGCCTTTTCTGGATTATCATTAAGGGTGTGAGTCTTTCAAGAAGGTCCCAGAAGTCACGGATTCCGTGACTTCCCTGGACCTCCGTGACTTCTAGTGTGGTTGACCCCGTGGCTGCCCACGCCTACTGGAGTGGCAGTAGCAGTGATGGGGCCCCGGGCTGCCCCCCGCTTGGAGTCTCTCTTCTCTTTCTCCTCCCTCCCTCCCCTCTCCCCCCGTCCCAAGAGCAGCAGCAGCGTCCACCGGAGCACTCTCCTCCCTCCTCCCCCAGCACCTAAGATTTAGTAAGGGGTATTTATAGTAAAAGTTATGGACAGGTCATGGGCTGTGACTTTTTGTTTATTGCCCATGACCTGTCCATAACTCTTACTAAAAATATCTGTGACTAAATCGTAGCCTTTAATTATAATTGACAAGTCTACCATTTCCATATGATTCATATTTATGGCTATCAACTTTACCTTTCTTACATTTGTTATATCTGTTTGTTCTTTTTTTTTTTTTTAAAGCTACTTCCACTTCTCCACTAAATCAGGTTGGTGTTTTAACCAGTTGGCCTTTTTTCTCACTTGTGGAATGTGGCTTTTTTGGCACCTAGTAAAATGTTCTTAAATAATTACCATTTACATTTTTCTGTTTAAAGTCTTCCTCTCAACTGATTTGGGTCGTAACTATTTTCAACTTTGTGAAATTGACCCTTTTAAAGCACCAAGTATATACCAGCTGTTACTTGTATGGACTTTATTCTGTTCGCACGTAAATTGTGATCAAATTATGATCACTTGTACTTAAGCTGCCACTAGTTTTTAGTTCTGCAATCCATTCCTGTCTGTCAAGGTGATGTCTAATACAGAGTTCCCCTGTGTTGAATTTAACACTTTTTTGAGTTAAGAAATTATCATCTGAAATATTTAGAAATTCTGAGAATATTTTAGTACTTGAAGCATGAGACTTCCAGCGTAAGTTGCTCAGATTGAAGTCCCCCAGGATAGTGCTTCCCCCCCCCCACACACACACACACACATCGTAGGTAGGCATGTAAGGAGATGGTCGTCCTGTTCTCTGGTGTGATTTGGTGGTCCGTAGCGCAGACAAAGTAGTATCCAATCTTGTTTTTTTTCTCTCTCAGTACATTGATCAATATTGTTTTCTTCTATCAGTTACTCAGAAACAGGTAATGCCATTTTTGACAGTGCCCTCCTGTATCCCTTTTGCCCACTTGATCCTTACTAAATCAGTTTTATCCATTGGTTTTTTTTGTTGTTGTTTGTTTTTTTTTTTTTTTAACATTCCAGTAGTGCAAATCTACCCACTAGGTTTCATTAATACCAACTAGATTGAATTTTTCCTTATAGATGAACAATTCTGGTTCCTTTTGTTTATTATCCTGGGTGTATAAGCAATTAAAGAATTTCTTTTCTTCACATTCCTTGGTGCATTGATTGATTAACTTTGTTCTCAACATCTTGATATTCTGTTAAATGAGTGCTCAATAGTTCCCGCTTCTCACCCTCTACTTTTGTTGTTAGTTTAATACCCTTCTGACTACTCTAGCCAGCCATTCTCCGATAAAATTGGTTCCTCTTCTGTGGAGATGGAAGCCATCCAAACTATACAGACCCTTTTCCCCATAGGTGAACCAATGTTCCTCACGCCAAATCCCTCTACCTCCAAGCACAGGATCTGTAGCTATGATCTTTGAAACTCCCGTTTGCTGCACGTTTGCATTAATGTCTAATGCAGTCTCTGAACATAGTATATGGCAGCATGAAATAAGATAAAAATATTTCAATTTGCAATTCAAAGAACGTTCATCATTGGATTTTCTCTTCAAGGAGGGCAGTAACTGGCATATGTTTGTTAAGTTGAAATTATGTTTTTGTTAAATTTAGAAAATAGCAGGTAAGTGGTATTTTCTTTATTCTAAAAAACAAGACTTCTTCAGAATGTTGACAGATGTTTCGTGGAAATGTCTAGTTCTTTCATATAGTTTGCACAATATAGGCTTATTTGGAATAATTTGCCTTATTAAAACATGTAACTAAGCTTGCTACCTTTTCATACTGTGGAATTTTCATTGTTCCACTTGTCTTTTTGATGTCAGCAACGTTATTGCAGACATGAAGATTGGGAAACGCCGTCTCACCCGTGGTGTATCCAGGCCATCCAGTCAAATTTCATTTGATGATGATGATGATGGGCAAGGTGACATGTTTCAAAGAGGTATCCTGTCTGAATTTGCTGGAAGTAAAAGGTACTCTCTACTTGCCTGTTTTCTCTTTTTGTGTTCCTTCCCCCAATAAAATACTGACCAGTTAAGTTTTTAAATTCTAGTAATAAAGAAACACCAACTATACTCCTAAACGTCAAAGCTAAAGAGTTCTGAGTTTCTACATCTTCCACAAAAATGCTGACTCCACATTCCAGATATAGATGCATTATACCAGGGGTGGCCAGCCTGAGAAGGAGCCAGAATTTGGCAATGTACATTGCCAAAGAGCCACAGTAATATGTCAGCAGCCTCCCACCCACCAGCAGACCCACCGATCCACGCCTCCTCCACCCGCCCTGCGCCTCCCAATTAGCTGTTTTGGGTGTGCAGGAGGCTCTGGAGAGAGGGGGGAGAAGCGAGGGCACTGCAGGCTCAGGGGAGGGGGTGGGAAGGGGTGGAGTGGGGGCAGGGCCTGTGGCAGAGCCAGGGGTTAAGCAGTGAGCACCCCTGGCACATTGGAAAGTTGGCGCCTCTACAAGGAGCAGCATATGAACTTCTGAACAGCCGCATGTGGCTCTGGAGCCATAAGTTGGCCACCCCTGCATTATACTGTAGGAAACAAAAGAAAATGTGTTTCTTACACTATAAGTAGTTTTTTTTTTTTCCCCCAAACATAGTATTAAAGTTGATTAGTGTAAGAACATAATTAATTTTAATAAGCTGATCAAAGTAAATGCAATTTTTGGGAATTAAACCTGATTGTTGCAAATCTTTAGTGCTAATATATAATCTACTTTTTGACTTTGCTGTTCAAGTGTGTTTTGAATGTATCACTTATGCACAATATTTTACATCTCATTCTCGATCATCTTATGGGGGTGGGGGGAAAAGCTTTAAAGTGCTACTGTCATTTGAAGGAACACTTCGAAAAATGTTCTGGGTAGAAATATTTCACCAATTGAGGGTTTTGTTTTTTTTCCTCTTGCTAAGGAAAATAGGAACTTTGCACCTGAGTCATTTCTTTAGTTTACTGTCGCCCCAGGCATCAAAATTGTCTGCCATGGACCTAATGATTTAAAATGGTGACTTGAGAGTTCTCCCTGAAAATGACTGTGCCTTTTACTGTTGGTGTCTTTTTTTTTTTTTAAATTAACCCAGGCTCTTTTTACTCAGTTAATAGAGCACCCTTACTTTGTTATACTGTTATCTGTTCTCTCATCCTGTAGTCTGTCCCTAAAATACACTGTCTACATGGCATCCTTACAATCACTTGTCTTAGGACATGGTTCCCAAACTTTAACAACTTGTGAACCCCTTTCACTAAAATGTCAAGTTTCAAGAACCTCCGCCTAAAACCGAATATTTCCAGGGATTTTCTCCTTTACTTGAGTATAAATTATAAAAGCAGTGCTCTTGGAAATATAAAATTTGTTCTTATGACATACCTATTACACACTATTTTTTATTATTTATCATTACAATATTTTTATTACATTATGAAAACACCAACACTCTTCCAAGATCTCACTTCCATAGCTTGTCTCACTTTGAATAAGCCTGTTCTAAGTCAAGGCTCCTAGGTTTCATCAAGGAGGATCAGATGAGGAACAGCATGAAGGGATTTAAGGAGCCAGCTGAAAGAGTTCCTCCTACACAAGCATTCAGGTCTTGAGCAGTCCAGGCAAACCACACACGTTACAAGCAAGCTTCAACTTGTTCTTTGTAATGATTTTAAAAACAATACTAGCTGCCTGTTTAATTTTAAAGACAGCAAAAAATATCCACCTCCCTTTCCATTTCTTATAAGGAATCTTGAAGTTTAAATCTCGTCAGTGTGATAGATATGCTTGCTTTGATCTGCTTAGCTCTTGGAAGTCCAGAGGCTCCAGGCTGCTGGCCCCGTGCTGCCCGGGGTCTCTAGGGACAGCTCTGTCCGCCATTCGGGAATTTTTTCCTGAGAACCCCCTGTAACATTTTGCGAACCTGAGTTTGGGAACCACTGTCTTAGGGTATTTCTCCCCACATTTCTGTTCCCAATAAGATTAATGCCTTTTAAAATTAACTAAATCTGACTTTAAGTGGAGTTAGTGGGTTAGAAGTTTAGAGAACCATGTTTATTGGCATATATGTGGGAAATTTGGAAGGCAAGATTTGCATAACTGAGAAATAAACATTCCTGGGTCAGTAGCTGTACAATATCCTTGCATTCCTTGGCTGAGACAGATTTATTTCAGTATATCAGAAAATTATGATTTTAAGTGAGGAACAAACAGGAGCATATGAATTCCAAAGCCATGTAGATCATACTATAAAAACCCAAAGGCAACATGCAGTTATATCATCAGAAAACATCTGTAGATGCTGAAATGTTTCTAAGTAATATGATTTTTTCTGATTTTTGGCAATTGTTTTATGTGGGAGTTAGAAAAGTATCTTGAAGGGAGAGTTTCACGTAGTTGGGAACAATACGTAATGGCTCCACTTCTCAACCCCCAAAATGCAGCAAGTGATGGAGAGGGAATCGACCAGGCTGAGACTGGAGAACAGGGAACTGAACAAGGGAAGAGAATGAGCCCTCATTGACTTATACAGAAACTTTTGCCCCAAGGTTTTCAGTGTTCTTGGGGAGCTGTAAATGATGCCAGTGTAAGGAGCAGAATAACTAAATGCATTGTGAATTTTTGAATGGTTCAGTAGCCTGTTACCTTTAGGCTGAGGATATTAATTCATCCTAGGCTGGTAGAGACTGAAAGTCATTTCATTATGATACAGTAAGAAAGTGACAGTACTTGAGTGGATCCCAGTAGTCTGATTTTGTTTGTTTGGTAAAATTTGTTGCAACATGTGAAGAAGTAATGTAAACTAAAAGCAACTTAGAATATAGACAATAAAAACAGCTGATATAGAATTGGTCAAACAGCTTACAATATTTTAATAAAAAGAAAGTAAAATATGTTTTGCAATGCATTTGAAAACATTCCCTCTGTCACAAATTATGAGTTCTCTGACCCTCTGGTGTAGTTGTATGAACTGTTCATTATGCAGATTTCAACTACCAGTCTCAAAGTTCAAATTTTTTCCTGTGGGTATACAATTCTAATAATCAAATATACCCTGTTGTTAGTGTTCCCAGGGAAGGTTAGGAGAAAATGGGTAAATTGAGTTAGCAGATCTCAACAAAATGGGTGCTGCTGCTTTATAGTAACTTGAACTAGTAACTTTATATGTAAATGTTTTGTTCCAAATCCTGCCTGCATCTGCTACTAACATTATTGGAAGTTATGAACAGATAGGAAAATGTAATCCCAAATCTGTTTAAATTCCACATTCTTCTGAGACTGTGTAATAGATCCAGGGTAGCTACGTTAGTAATATGTAATTTGACAAGATCAGATTTGCCATAGTAGTTGTGGCCTTCAGAAATCTGCTGGAAAGCAGAGGGATGAAATTTAAGGGCAGGAAAAGCAAGTGTTGCTTGGGCAACAATGAATAAAACAAACGAACGCTAGAATTTCATTGGAAATGTACACAAACAGGAAAGGTTAAATGATTAAAGGAATCATTTGTTCTAAATTACAATGAACTAATTTTCTTGTTTATTTTGTATTATCTGAAAATTCACTTTGACTGGTTGAGGGGAGAAGACCAGCTGTTTGAGTTTTTAATTTAGAATTCAAATATAGTTTGACTGCTCTTATTAAAGATATGTTTGCTCGTTGAATATCTTTCTTTTTTTAAATAAAGAATCCTATTAAGTGTGACGTTGATGTTTTGCAAAAAAAAATCCAAATATATTTTACTATCCAGAAGAGAGCCCCGAAATGACACTGTTTAGACTATACCTTATCACAACAGTTTGAGTGTTAGTCATGTGGCAGAGGAAAGGGTGGATACATAATCTTCCAAAAAGGCTGTTTACTTCATAAATCAGGGTTAGTTTGATTTTAGCTGTTGTCTTTTTTCCTGAATTGTGAAATATTTTGTGTGGTAGAACAAAAACATTAAAAAAAAAACAAAAAAAAACCAAGAAATGCACTTTCTAAGAACTATCTATTACTAAGGTACCATGGGCTGATAGCATTTGACTTTATTAAGATTCCTAAATATGTAAATAGGAGTAAATCAAATGTAAATTAATGGCAATTATACTAATTACCTCACAGGAAAGTATGTTGGGAGTCTGGCTCCAGTGCTTCATTAATTGCATTGTAGAGCGGTAACTCAAATGCAATGTTTTGTCTTTTGGTTACCAAGTCTAAAGATTTAGTAGAATAGTCAATATGTTGGTATTTTTTGTTTCCAAAGGATGGTTGACTTTCGTTCTAGAGTTTAATAAGCATATTCTGTGTTTTGTAAGCCTAATTTTAAACTGGCTGTGTTGTGAAATGTCAAATATCATTTGTCGTCTTTGTTTATAGAAGAGGGCTTCACCTAGGAAGGAGGCTTAATATTTTCCCTGTTTCTCCCACTGTTACAGAACGGACACCTGAAGCAGGTTAGTGGAAAAGCAACAACAAAAACCCAAAGGGAGGAAATTCTTCAAAAAATAGAGAAGTTTGCTGTCTCATGGAAGAGAGGGGTTGGCTGCTACCTTGCTGGTTTCAAACCTGGTCATAAATTAATGTGTGGTCTAAATCTGGTCTTTGGTAGGCAAGACTTCTACACGGTGTTATGGAATAATAGTTTTTGATCCTATATCAGGACTAACGTACACGAAGTTATGTGGTAAAGCCGACCTGTGATGCTACTTGCCAGTGTTGTCGGTGTTTCTTCCATGAGCACTAAAATTCCCCCAAATTTTCTCAGTAGAAAATGTATACTTGGTTTACCCTAGTTCTTAGTAGACGTTTGTCCATATTGCAAAACTATTGCACTAGATCTTGCTCCGAAGAGGCTTGAGACTACTGTCACAGAGGAAACTGGACAGGATTGAAGTGTACTGTCAGAACTCTGAGAACCTTGCTGTGATTTCCTGGATAAACTATGCCTAGTTTTACCTGGTGTAGATAATCCCTCACATGTATGAACTTCAAACACATACAGAAATCTTATTTAAACAAAAACAACAGAAAACCCTTTAGCTGTATCACTCTGTTATATCAACAAATATTACCAGCTATGCAGGGTCAGGCCTGATTGGTGCATGGATGGGATACCCTTCCAAAAATGAAGGCCAGAGTGGGTGTATGATTTAGGGGTTAAAGCTCAGGACTGGCTTTCCCCACTGTCATTGAATGGTCAAATCACTTAAGTTGTCTCTAAGTTTCCCTTTCTGTAAAATGGGTACAATAATGCCTTGTAGGCAATGAATCAGAATTCACTGATTTTATAAAAATACTCTGAATTCCTTTGGGGGGAAAAAAGCACTGTTGCATTGCAAAGTGTTACAATCAAGTGTAAAACTCAAGGCTGCAGAAATAGTGTTTGATTCAGTAGATGGCACTCTTCTCTGCAGATCAGTAAAGAGCCCATTTCAGGGTTTGTGATTTTGTTTTTAGGGTTTTTTAAGACAAGGAGTGTTAGTTCAACAGCTTTGACCAGCTCCTAGTTTGGGTAGTCTTGTCTCCATTAATTTCTCCCTGCAGTTTCAATTGTATAGCTTCTTTATTTCCTGTACTAAAATGTCACATAGTGCCGTTTCATAGATTCTAAGGCCAAAAGGGACCATTGTGATCATCTAGTCTGATTTCATGTATAGCACAGTCCATAGAACTGCCCCACAATAATTCCTAGAGCATATATTTTAGAAAAACATCAATCTTGATTTAAAAATCGTCAGTGATGATGATGGTGAATCCACCATGACCCAGGGTAAACTGTTCTAGTGGTTAATTACTCTTATTGTTAACAATTTACACCTTATTTCCAGTCTGAATTTGTCCAGCTTCAATTTCCAGCCTTGGATCATGTTATACCTTTCTCTGCTAGATTGAACAGCCCATTATTAAATATTTGTTCCCCGTGTAGATACTTAGTCACTCCTTAACCTTATGTTTGTTCAGTTGAACAGATTGAACTCTTTGAGTCTATCACTAGAAGGCATGTTGTCTAATCCTTTAATCCTTCTTGTGGCTATTCTCTGAACCCTCTCCAATTTATCAACATTCTTCTTGAATTGTGGATACCAATATTCCAGCAGCAGTTGCACCCGTGTCAAATGCAGAGGTAAAATAACCTCTCTGCTCCTACTTGAGATTCTACTGTTTATGCACCCCAGGATTGCATTAGCTCTTTTGGCCCAAACATCACACTAGAAGCTTATGTTCAGCTGATTATCCACCAGGATCCCCACATTCAGACACAAGGCTTCACAGGAGAGTGTTCCATATTGTCAAGCAGCGGCTGATTTTACTGAATGCAGTCACCTCTGGGATGGAATGTGAGCACTGTTTAACAGAATACTGCAATTGTCTCCTTTAGGAATCCAATTAGTATATATGTAAGATTATTAGGTCAGTAAAAAAGGGCTGATTTTTAAAATGTTGCCCATTCTGATTTTACGTATATTCTTTTAAATTACCGTTCCAAAAATACATATTCAGATGGTTAAATTTTGGGTTGAATCAAGCATGTTTAGGCATAATCACTGGTGTTTAGTTTTTTTTTGTTTTGTTTTTGTTTATAAGTAACCCTTTGAACTAGCTTGTACACAGCCTTATAAAAAGCAGAACTGCAAATGTTGTTCATACTATTTAAAGACCCATATACTATTTATGTATACCCTAATTTATAAATAGATGGTAGCACAAGTAAAACTTGAAAGCAAGGGAACTTTATGGGGTTTGTCATAAGATCTCAACAAGGATGCCTCTTTCAGTTTTTTAACAGCATTTCCTTGTCTAATTCCCAGTAGCAGTGAGGAAAGCTACAATAGATTTCAAGCCAGAAGCCATATTACACAACTGTATTGACTAGAAGTCTCATTGCAAAACAATTTTTTCCTTAATAGGAGGAAATACCAATAAGATATTTGATTCCTTAACTTATTTCCCCTTGTTTTCTTCTTGTTAGCTCATATTAGTGCAGATATTGAACTAAAACATTGTTTAGACCCACTATGAATGCAAGTTCCTTGTCAAGTGTTAATATTCAGGATTTCAAAATAAATATTCAAGTGGAAAATCAAGGAGAAACTGTTTAAAGACTGTTAAATCTGTAGAGAAAGGAGCATTTTACACTATGCTGCTTTCTGTTCCATAAAGGTAAACGTAAGGTTGTTTTGCATCCAACAGACACACCATGTTTGTAAACTTAAACTTTGGGCCGTCCTTTTAAAGAAGATTGATTAGTAGAAAATTATCAGAATATAATACTTAAAGGATAAAGTAGAAGCAATGATTCCTTTATAATTAATGTTGTAACCCCAGATGTTCCATTACATCTTTTTTTGGGTATCCTTCTAACCTCTCCAAAAAAAAGAATATTTTCATGTAAATGGGTAACTGATGGGTGTGGCTGAGGCAGAATTTTTCTGCCAAGTATGAATTAATTTGAACAAAGGTTTTCTAATTTATCACCCTCAAAATAGAAATGTTCTCCAGAGTGGAAAAGTCTGTGTGTCTGCCATTTTTGTAGCCAAGGAAAAGGAAAGAAAGAGAATTTAGTTTACTGGATTCAACTAGTTGATGTGGTCCACAAGACCAAAGATTAGTTTGTTTGTTTTAAACTACTAACATTTGAAATAGTAAATGTCAGAATGGCTGTGACTCATAAACTATGTGACTTCTGAAGACTTAAGCTTTCATTTTAGGAAACTCCAGCTTGCTTTCTTGCAGAGACCAACATAAAAATGTAAACCCATCGCAAGGGAGGCTTTTCAATGGAAAGGGATAATTTTTCCACTGAAACCAAAGTTAATTAGACAAACCATTATTAAATTGGGACACATTTCTTGAAAAAAAGTCTTCGCAGTTAGAAAATTATTGTAAGGCATTTTTGCCTGATCTCTGCTTCCAAATACCATGCATCTTCTCGCTCTCATGTAGTGGACTGTCATCTGTTGTAGATGGGCAGTGGCTTGTTTTGTGTGCCTGAGAATGAAAAGAAATTAAGCAGGAAGGAATGTGTCAATGAGTAAAAACGCTGGGTGAGATGAGCACTGCATTGGCCTGCTGCAAGTTATGTAAATGCTAGATATGAAGCCAAGAGATGAGTAAATGAATAGGACTCATGACATATAATGCTTTGGCCAAATTCCAAGGATGTTGGAGGGTTGGGTGATCAATCGAGGGAATACTACAATATTTTAGAAAGGACTGTTTACTTTGCTTTCATAAGTGCTAAAAAAAACCTCCATTCATCTTTTCCATTAAACTGTCTGAAGAAGTAACTGCCTCAAAATTAATCTTTCAAGAGAGTGCTTGAGAAAATGCAAAATTATAATTTTTATATATAATCTATAAAAATTTGCATAGAGTATTTTTTGTGTGTCTTAAATGCTATATGCAAATATATATATGTTTTTCTAGCACTTCACAATTGAGGTAGAAAGACATGGGCCTTATTTTTCAAAAGTGACTAGTGATTTTGGCTGTCTCCTTTTTCAGGTGTCCAGCATAAGACATCTGAAAGAGTCAGACCCCTTTAAAGCATGTCAAGTTGGACACCCAAAAACTCTAGTCACTTCTGAAAATTTAGGCCATAGTCCCGGTCTCAAAGAATTTACAGTGTAATCTTAGATAGGGTGATGTGATGTCTGACTGGGGGACAGCAAACACGGAGGGAACAGGGTGTGGGAGGATGAGCATTATAGTGATATAATAGTTACTCAGATCAGTCATGTGCATGTCCTTGAGTATAGTTAATATTTTTTTATCATTTAATATTAATTATGACAGTCTCATTTATTGTGGGCATAACACAGTATGTGAGTCTTGAGATTATTTAAGGTATATTCCATGAAGGAGGACAACATTTAAGGTAGTGAGATAAATGGGAAGTCAGGATTTCTCTGTCTTGTATGCGATTGACTCCGGCTTCCAAAAATCTCAACTGGCAGAAAAGCTGGGCCACCAAACAAGATGGGTGAGGTTCATAGTAAACAGCTGGGAGCATTTGCAGATGTGGGTTGCCTTGCTGAATGAGAGCATAATCATGAAATACCAGGAAATCCCTTAAACAAGGTCCTCTTGTGTTTAATAAAGAGTGCATAGACCAAGTTCAGAATTTGAGTTAAATATAAAAACTTGTGACTAACAAAAAGCAGCCAAAATGTGTCAAAAACAGAAAAACTGTCACATAATGGAAAAAGTTAATTCCTATTAACGTTTGGAAAAGGGGTTAAAATAACTTAGCTGCAATTTTGACAGATCAGTAGGCTAGCTTAATAGTCCTTTGAGAATTCAGTGGGCTTTCATTGCAGAAGCAAACCATGAAATATGGTATTAATAGCTACAACTTAAAATATGTATATCTGAAAGGACCAGCCTTCATTAAGTGTAATAATCTTAAACAAAATATGATTAAGTCAATAATTCTCTGGCAAACTGACAGGTCTGGGGTGTATATATATATAATATATATTTTCTTATTTAGAGTCTTCACCTACACTCTGGGATCTGGAGCTTGCTAATCAGATTGCAGCAGTAAATCAAAAGCCACCTCGGAATGGTTTTGAAGAGATGATCCAGTGGACAAAAGAGGGAAAACTGTGGGAGTTCCCTATTAATAATGAAGCAGGTAAGTGTACTGTAGCTTTTGTGGTCTCTTTATATTTGTAGAGAATTAGAGCACCAACTTAATGCTTCAGAGTTTTTTAATAATGTATTTCAGGTATGCCTAGCACATACAATAGTTTACTAATGCTTTTCTCAAGTAAGCAACTTTAAGCTGTCCTAAGTTACTGAAGCCTCAGATGAAGACATCCTGGAAATTTTGCTATTAGACCCTAAGGAAAACTGTTTAAATATTAAAAGGAGTTGGGGAAGAAGCTTGATGAAGTTGTGATCACTGAATAGGTCTAGGGCTGTGGCTTGAAATTGCTTAAATCCAACCAAGCTCACTGGTTCTCGGTAGGGTTTTGTAGCTGGAGAATTTCTGCTACTTCTATAGACACTCTAAAGTTAACAAACCAAATATAAAAAGGAAACTAACCCCACAAATCATTTACCTTTTGGTATAGTTTAAATGCTTTCATTGGTGTTAACTCCAGATCCAATCCTCAAAAGGTCACCCAGCTACATAACATACTACCTCTTACTATAGCATCTTACAGATTACAGATTGACATAATAAGTCATAAAGTCGGTGTCTTTATTAAGATCATAGTTTTTAGTGTCCAGTGAAGTTATGGATGTCTCTGCTGCTATGATGATCATCACCTCCCACAACACAGCTTTCAAGATCCAGGGATCCTACACATGTGGTGTTCATCATCCAAGGCACTTATATAATGTGGTTTTTTTGGTCTTAATATTTTCCTGTCACCTGTGGGTGAACACTTTTCACAAAGTGATTGTGTATCTCCCCTCTCAGTCCTCATCCTCAAAGGAGACATTAAAAAAAGTGGTCTTAATAAAGCACTGAATTTATGGCTTGTTACAACAATCTGTATCCCACTAACTCCCCTTCTCCTATTACTACAGGGATATTAACAGGCCACTTCATCTTGAATGGTCCCTTAGAATAAGTACTATCTATTCAATCTTGTATTTAGCTGTGACACACTTAAGGGCCTTTCCCAGACCTGAAGAAGAGCTCTGTGGAGCTCAAAAAGCTTGTCTCTCTCACCAAGATATATTGCCTCACCCACCATGTCACTCTAATATCTTGGGACCGACACAGCTACAGCAAAACTACATACAACGATTTACTGAATATTACAGTCAGATTGTTCCCTTAGGCCTGTCTGTTTCATAAGCAAAATCAGTCAACAGTCAGCCACTCCAACCGTCCCACTGGCTGGACATCCATTATACAGTACATAAGTAACCTCCTTTTTTATAGAAGTATCTCTATGTGAAGTTAAACAGCAAGAAAATATAAAGACCATCATGGATGGAAGAGAAAATACAGATATACAGAAAGTGTGTGAACATCCTTTAGATAGGATTTTAATAACTGTAGAAAGTTTGGCAGTGGTCTTAAATCATTAAAGACATAACACATAACAAGTTGGTTTCTGGAGGGTGACACTCCTTGAAAATCTGCTATTCTGTGTAGAGTTGTAAATTGCATAATGTGGTTGAGCTGTTTCTTAATGTTCTCAACCTGTTTTGGTAGTTTCTTAGAATTTAATCACTGCTTCCATGAGAATCTATCTGTTCTGTTGTGCACTAATCCAAATATATACTAGTCATGTTTTTTGCAATCTTGTAATCCCTATAGCCAAAGGCATTTCTGATCTTGTAATGTGGCTGGAACTCTGTTGTTTGGGGGTAGTGAATTAGCAAGGAGTCTTCACATATAGTTAAGCAAGCATCTTTATTGATTTGTCCACAAAAATTGGTCATGTGGAAAATGCCAACAGAGAGCTTCAAACTTTATCACAGGTCAGGTTGCAAAAATCAGGATGGAATTTATTGGCCTATCAAAGCACCAACTCTGTTTACATGTCATTAATCACATCAGGTACATCAAAGTGAAATAGAAGGCTTGGGGAAACTCATTAAGTTGTGCCAAATTTGTTGTAATTCTAACAGCCTTACAGAAAAGTGGCACTCATTACCAGTTCTAATTCTAGATTTTGTATCCTTGTTTCTTCAATAGCGGCACATTCCATCACCTAGTTCTGTACCAAGAAATAGGTTTCCTTTTATATACGATAAGCCTGTGGCTATACAGTCCTAAGCAAAATTAAAATGTATCTGTTGTGGGAAGAGATGTGTTCAACTTTGAACATTATAATGGTACCTGAGTTCTTAAACTTTTAAATAAAATATAGATAGGAAAGAAAAAACATGCAATTACTTTTTCAGGCGTCCTTCTTGAGCATCCATGTCCTTTTTTAAAATGGTTTGAGCTGTACATCCATGCCTTGATCACATAACTTCTGAATAACTCACTGGGTAAATAGGACAAAACGCATCTTGATTCTCTCCCATATAGAAGTGCCTCATTTTGAAGAACCAATACTTCTGGATCATTAGTGCTTCAAGGGTTGTAGTGATAGGGTTAAAGGAAATCTTTGCAAACCGAAATCATGTAATTGCGTCTGGCAGCATCTATATGCAAAAGTTCTACCAGTCGTATGTTAGCTGCTTCAGTAATTCTCCAGTTAAATGGTTTTGGCTCAACTAAATGCCAAACTGTGAAGCTATCACACATTTTTTCTAGTTCCTTCCTAAATTGCAAGTGCTCATGTTTTGGGGTTAGGAAGGAACACTACTACTAGAGAGAAATAGAAATTATTTAATAATTTAAAAAGTGGGGGGGGGCAGAAAAGGGCAAAAAATGTTGGCCAGCATTTTTTAAGATCTGAAAAACTTATTTACCCATTTCCAAAACTCTGATCAGGTTTAATATCTATACTTGGAACTAGTGACTATAGAACCCTACCAAAAGTACCCTTGAACTTCTGTGGAAAGCTACTCATTGAGTGTATAGAACACAGAGGACTTACAATGAGAACATTTTCTTCTGTGTTTTTATGTAGTGCTTAGCACAATGGGGTCCTGGTCCATGAGTAGGGCTCATAGACACTACAATAATACAAATAAATAGTAGTGATAATAATAGTCACTGCCTCCGTATTTCACTGTTGCATTGTTCAGATTCTTTTAATAGCAAATCAGTCAATTTTTCTCAGACTTTTATGACCAACAGATTACAGGAATAAGGGGACCCTAGAATCACGAACAATAACTATCAGGATTTTCTGATTCAGGAAACCATGAAGTATTGGGGGAGAAAAGGGGAATTGGAACCCACTGTAGTGATAATTGGAGGATTCCTAGTATTCACAACGTGGATTTGAGTTTCCAAGCCCAGCGAAAATATGCCTTTGAAAGCCAATATGATCAGTGAAGAAAAAGTTAGCTTCTGGGAAGGGGGAAACATCTGGTTTCTTTGTCAAGGACAAGGGAGATAAAGGTGATGGGTAGCTGGTATTGATAAACACTGCACATATTACTGATGATGCAGTGTGGGAAAATAGACATCCTTTTCCAGCTTCTTCAGGAATTGCAGTGTCTGAAGGAAAAACAGGAAAGAAACCATGGTAACTTTGCGAGTATGGTATACAAGTTGAGAGACACTTCCATGCTACAGTGCTGTGCTGCTGGAGGTTTGGAAGAAGCTGACATGCCATTAATCCTTGCACTAATATGTCTGTCTTTATTATCTCACTTTAATTTTGATGATTAAGGTTATTGCCAAATGTCATATCCTGGTTAGTATCTAAATAATTTGCACTCATTTCTGTGGTACAAACTTCCTGTATTTTATTACCTCGAAGTATTTACCTTTCCGATAATGCAGAGAGAGTTTTCTTTACTATGATATAAGAAAGAATGAATGTAAGCCTACATATAGTAGTAAAAATTCCAGTCTTCAATATTATGTTCTACTAAGATGGCATGCACCATACTAATGTGATAATGTACAGAGATGTTTTTCATCATAGGTCACTCTGGTTCTAAAGGTTTTGGCTTGTAAAAGGGTTAGGTGTATTGGAATCACTTAAATACTTTTAAATGTTCTCTTCTAATGTGGGGAAACTGTAGTGCTTATTCACGGCTATGTGGAGGACGAATAACACTCATAGATATGTGATGTGCAAGCTTCCACAAATAACGCTGCCAGTATCTCTGTTACAGTACTGGTCATTGGCATAAACATTTTAGGCTTAATTTTGCCAAATTGCTGGGTTTGGGATGTAGGCAAATATCCACTAGATCTTTAACTGAAGACTGATAGACTTCACTTTTTTTTTTAAACTATCTTGTTCATCTATAAACCAACATTTTACTGTTCTGCAGTCTTTACAAATGTATTACAGCATTCATGGTAGTTAATTTTATACCTTATCAAATAATTGCATTAATTAGTGACAGGTTTGGGTTTTTTTTAATCAACTGAAGGGGGGGAAAAAATCTCTGTGCAGTCAGACCCCAGTCTGTCTTGATTTCTGGATTGGTAATATGGCCAAATCTCATGGTATTTCTGAGACAACCCCCTTTTTTTTTTCTATTCATATTTGAGTTTGTAGACCTCAACATCTTACACTTTGATTTGTGTGTCCTTTGAACACTAGTGTCAAAATACAGAGCAGAAACCAGTGAAATCCACTGAAAAGAGGACTAAAATCACTGCTTGATTGATCTGAGGCATTTTTGGTGAAAGGTCTGTAACAAACCACTATGCCACATAGCTCTGAGATGGAATGCTTTTTAATGTAGTATTTTTGCATTCATCACTGCTAAAGGTAACATCTGACAAAACTTTCAAAATCTTAATTGTGTGTACCTCAACCTATTTGTATTTTTGTGATTGCAAAAGTCTGGAAAGAGTTAAAAGAAGTATTTGAAAATATTCCCTCTTTCAAATTTAATAGTAAAATACCTAAAACTGTGTGAAATATAATGAACATATAAGCATGGAACTCATTCAAGTAACAAATACTTTCAAAGGTAGACTTGTTCCGTTTGAACTACCTTTTTTTTTTTCTTTAAACCATTTTGCAAAGTTATGCAACCAGTATATTTCTTATTACAAGTAAATGCTCAATTCAGTCTTTAAAAAATATTGCTAGCAGGCCAGCTTTCATAGCCCATAACAAGCCAGTGTTTGCATATAATGGAAGAACAGGGTTTTTTGCTAAGGAAATGGATTTCAGAGTCAGGCTTCAATGGCATTACCAAATATGAAATCTAGGTAAAAATTGCCTCTTAAAGAGAAACAGAAAATGAAAATGAAGAGTTGTGAATGTTGGCATGACATCTTGTGCACTGAAATCTCTCCTATTTGGGGAGGACAGAGGTCGAAGTGTGTGGTATTGGACCTCACCACAGTCCTCTTCCATTCTACTTTTTCTTTTTGTGTACAGCACTGAACTATTAATTCTACCAATTAGAAGGAATTTACATGCAAGACTTAGTGAACACAGACAAGACAAACTGAAATTATGATATAACAGTGTTTTGCAATTCACCTTCTAGGTATTGAAGATGATGTTGAATTTCATGAACATATCTTTCTGGATAAATACCTAGAAGACTTTCCCAAGCAAGGACCTGTTCGCCACTTCATGGAACTAGTGACCTGCGGGCTTTCCAAAAATCCATATCTAAGTGTTAAACAAAAAGCTGAGCATATTGAATGGTTCCGGAATTACTTCCAGGAAAAGGAGGAACTTCTTAAAGAGATTGATGATCATGAGAAAGAAACAGACGTTAGTCTTGAAAGGAGGAGTCTATCAAAGTAACAAGTGATCACTTAAAAAAAACAATTATAGCATTGTGTCAGTGCATAGTAAAACATTGTTAACACCTGATTTGAAAGATGTAATTGTGTGAACTTTTTAAAAAAAAGCTAAAATTTGCTATTCTTTTCATTTATATACACAAAATGGAGGGAATGGTCTGCAGCTCATAGATTGTACATAGCAAAAATATCATTAATTCTGCGGTACAAATTCACTGATTGACTATTTAATTCATTTTAAGCCTATCCAAAATAACCAGTAAGTAGATTTTCTCAGAAGGGTCTTTATTTTACTGGTTTCTGCTGCATGCATTTTGGAATTTGGAAACTGTCACAGAATCTAGAGATAAGAAAAGGCCAGTAATGTCGTCTACTCCACCCCCCTGCCAATTCAGGATTATTCCTTGTTGCATATTAATGTTTTGTGTGGTTTATTTTTAAATACGCTAATTGCGGGTGGGTGATTCCACTGTTTCCCTTGAGAGACTGTGTTCAGTGGCCTAACCTGGTTTACCATCAAGAAGTTGTTTGATTTTTTTTTTAAACCTTCTTTCCTCTCCAGTGTTCCCTCCCCTCTGCTCTCTGCAGCACTGTAGTATACCATTGTGTGTGTAAAATATTTTAATAATGTACATGTGGTATATTGTCAAACAGCCTCTCCTGCACTCTGCCCTTAATTGCAGGGTTACTTCAAACATCCCAAATCTGAGCAGCTTCAAACACCTGACATTTAAAAAAAAAAAAAAAAAAATTCAGCCTGCCACAAAAATGCCCTAGAACATGTAATTTAATCCCAACAATCATACTGGATCAGAGCTGGCAATATTCAATCCTGTTCCAGTATCTTGATTAAGTTCTGTTTATCTCCTGCCCTGAAGGGTTAGAAATGGGAGGCTCAGATCTTATCAAGAGGCACAGAGTTCTATTACTTTCTTGTTTTATAACCTTGTCTTCTGCTTTGTTGTACGATATTCTGTGGTGCTCAGATGTTCATGAAATAAATTCCATGTTTTCTCTTGGAGGATCCATGTCTGCACAGTGCTCCAAATCTGTTAAGCACATTTTATGTATTTGTCTTGCCTTCCTGTAGCCCTCTATTATCCTTTATTCTCCCTTAACCCAGGCTCTATTTGATGTTCTCTAGGTTACATTTGTCTCTTTTCTAACATATTTACAGTCTGATAGATTGTGCACTCTCTCTCGCCTCTCCCCCACATCACTGTAGGAGCTGTTGGCACTGGTGGTCCTAACTTGTTCTCCATACAGTCTGTTGGCTAGTATTTCAGGTACTTACTACTCCTGAAAGCCATGATACAGGAAGCAATAAATCATGCAATGGAGGCAAAATATTAGCTTTGTCATTGTGCAAATGAAATTACCTTGTGCCTAATCACTTTTTTTAACACAGTCACAAAAGTGCAAATGAAAGAGTCTGATCACATCTGCCTTTGAAATCAGAATTTTACTTGACACCCTGTTATCTTGTAGGGTATAGGTAAGCCTGGTTTCATTTCTTCTTACTTTTTCTGCATACTGGCTCTTTTGAAGGGAAGTGGCTTTTAAATAGGAGTAGTGAGAGAAGCAAGGTTCAAGTTCTGCAGAAATCTTCAGAGACTTCCCACTCTAGCAGCAAGACCAAGCGGTAGCTGTAACAAAAGTATCTTTGGTGGTAGGTTTGTTTAATTTTCAGCTCAGTGCCCAGGTGTGTTTTAGGTTTACAACCTGTACCTTGCAGACTTTCACCTAGCCAGTGATGCTTGGAGCTGTTCTATGAGAGAGGCCAAAAAGAAAACACGCTACTGCTTAAATAATTCTTACTGGATTTTTTTCCCCCAAAACTTGGCGAATTGACTGCAGCTACAATAGCATTTATTTCACTTCGAAATAATTTCTTCTGTCTTCAGTGTATCTTGGCCTGCATTTTACTATGGAGGGCAGGAAATTTTCATAGTTTTTAATTCTGAGGGGTTAGATGGTTTAGCTGTGTGTGAGAGTACTGAATCAACAGGTGTTATGCTGTGGGAACTAGACGGATGTTATCCCTTAGAAAAGGTATAAAAGGAGCTCAGCACTTCGATGACCTCTCAATGGGAGCTGCAGGTTTTCAGCACCTTTGAAAATCAAGCTGCTTCTGTTTAGACTCCAAATCTGTATTTAAACTTCCGAACTGTAGAAAACTAGGTTGGAAAATATTGGTCTAGGTATGTATGTATGTATCGAAGCCTGATTGGGACTGTTCAAAACAAATCAGCATAGTGCCAGTGGTGATGCTTTTGAGCGTCTATACGTGGAGCTACCCCTCATACACAATGGAGTGTTCAACATTGATGCTCCCAAATTCTTAACTTACAGACATAAAAACTGTCTGTCTTTTGCAACTTAAAATACAGAGTTTGAAATGCTAGTCCTCATACTTGGAATAAAACCACCTTTTTATATTGACTTTATTGGTCCCATCACGGCAATAATCTTTAAACAATGTATTAATTTGTGGGCGTGACATAGTTATGCATTTTTTTCAGTGATTAAGTGGTGTATAGATTAGATTTCACATGTCTATAGGATCTATGTTGAGAGTAGAATACCATTAATTATTTGCCAGAGTCTTAAGTTTTCTTTTTTAATGTATGAAGCTGAGGTCTTGTTAATGGATGACTAATGTCCTATCTTTTAGTCCTCTCTAATCATAGAATATCTGGGTTGGAAGGGACCTCAGGAGGTCATCTAGTCCAACCCCCATGCTACCTTAAGAGTCCTGAACCATGTCCCACTTGGGCATCTGCCTATTCTATTTTGTGTGTAGACTGCACTTGTCACTTACAAAAACATTAGTAGTGCAGCAACCTGACCTGGAGCAATGACGGCAGTGATTTTTGTCGTCTGAAAGTTCCAGGTTGAGATTCTCGCCTCCTGGGCTGCCGAAGATGGGGCATGTAATGGAGGGGGACATATTTTAAAAGCAGTGGGGATGGCTGTACCACTGCAAAGCAATACATGTAGGTATTATGGCATAAGCCACAGAGTAGGGTAGTAATTGTATTTTCCAAGTCAATCATTAATGGGCTCCATTAAGGTCTACTTGGGGGATATTGAGGAATCCAGTAAAATGTTAAAAGCTCTGTTCAGCAATCTCATTTTGTGAAAATCCTCTCATTGTGTCCAGGCCTACACCAGATTTGGATAGCTTGCCTTCAGAAGTATTCTTTACCCCAGCAAATACACCCAAATGTTTAATGTCAGTCTTCAGGAGTATCTTAGCATGGTGTGGACTGTTTGATTAGACATTAATTGTAATAGTTTGAATGATTACACTTCTATTTATAGTTTTGACTTTCTGCATGAACTTTCACATTTCAAGATGTGATATCAGAAAAAAACAAATGTAACAGAAAAGTCCAAACATTCGGATCAGCAAGAAGAGAATCCTAACTTTGAGATCTCACCTACCTCTCTCTACTTCATTTTACAACTCCTCACATCTTTCTATTTGTTGCTTTCTCCATGCCACCCCACTTAGTGTGTAAATTACACCTGCTTCCAAGGGTGTGTAACCATTAATATCAACTGAATCTGACCACATGCCTGCTCTGGCACTACAGACATATCAAGTTAAAGATTTCTCAGTAATGATCTCTAGTTATAATTGAAGGATTACAGCAAATGTGATTAAAATCCCATGAATGGATTAACTATTTACTGTATCAACGTGGTAGAACAGGAGCAGTACGTAAATACCAAGTGTGTGAATCCTGCCAGTGTTGTGCATTTATTTTAGTTTCTAAGAGCTGGTGGGAGGAAGATGCCCTCTATTTTGAAAGCCTCTTTGATCTCCGGTTACAAAACTGATGGTTTTCTTGAAACCAAACGTGAACAAACAGTGATTTGTTCTATCGTGTGAGAATTCAGACACCTGATCTCCAGGCCGACACTAGCAGAGAACTTGAGGAACAAGTCCTTCACCGGGTTTTCAGGCACCAGAGCAAACCCCTAATGTAGGCACACTTTATACAAAGTGTAGCTTAGATACTCTGATACTACAATGATGAGCATGGTATAAGAACCTATATAGAACAGAATACCCTGCTGCACTGGAGTGGATTGTGTCTACTACAGTGGATTGTGTCTACTACAGGGGCTTGCACCCATGCAACTATAAGTGGTTGTCCTGATGTAGGCAGTATCTTCATGCTGAATTCCCAACAGGCTTCCACATAAGCACTGAAAAAGATGGTGGCCTGCTGTACTCCTTCTGAACAATAGAAGGAGCTGAAATAATTGGGAAAAGGAGGAGAACAAAATGTTGAATGCTTTCTCAAACTGCCAACTTCTTTTGTCTTAAATCATGCCATTTCAGATGAGGATGACGTTAGTGGTGTTCTGGAGTGCTATTAGTCTCCCTTGCTTCACTGATTGCAGAGATAATCGAGTCCCAATATGAAAATAGCTCTTCTTTTGAAGCTTCTTCTTTGATGATTAGAAGCTTTAAAGTGTCATGAAATTTGCAAATGTGGGATCGAGACATACTTCCAATGATGATTCCAAAGCAGAAAGTCCAGATTTATATAGTTTGATTATAATTATAAATTTTAAAACTTCTTCCCTGACACATTTCAGGCACAAAATGGTGTTCAATATGAGATTTAAAGGCCTGATTGTTAAGGAGCCGCTCGGGGAAGCAGGGGACACTCCCTCCTCCAGTGCCCTGGTTGCTTCCAATAATTACAATTTCCATCCCTCATTTTACCCCAGCCTCCCCCTCCTCCTGTTCCCCGTCCAAGCTGTAACATGATTTTTCATAGGTGCTGCAGCTCCCATTGACTTCAACTGAAATTGTGGGTCCTTAGCATCCCTGAAAATCTGGCCCTTGGAGTATTTCCCTCCCGCCATAAGTGTTAGATTTTTGTGAGCAGGTACATAACAAGAGAAGACATGTGATGTGCTGTTGTAAGTGGCTATAGGGCTCTTAAATCTCATAATCCTCTCACCACAAGATGTCAGTGTAGATTTATTTTATCAGAAGTAAGGTAGGTGTATTGTTCCCCCTACAGATTAAAACACAAACTATTAGAGAAACAATAGGTTTGATTATGCTGTGGGATTTATTCCCTGTGGAGGAGTGGCATCTCAAGAAAGGGAATAATGGAAGAGATGTGCAATCACGCACTAAAATGTGAGCAGTATCCTTTTTGTAACTGGTGGCACATTTTAACACCGAACAAATGCATCACATACAGTTCAATTAATGCTGAAATTGGGGATGAATTTTATCCCCATCTTCTCTGAAACAAAATGTTAAAATATTGCACTCGAAAGAAAAAAAAAAAGCTGAACTTTATCTATAGTAGAGATGTGTCCAAAATATTTTTTTACTTGCAAGACCTTAATACAGTTCTTGGCTCTACCTCTGACTTCCTGTGTCCCCTTTAGCAAATTCCTTAATTCCTTTGAAGCACAATTCTCCATCTGTAAAACAGGGATGATGACCTTTCCTTTCTCCCACCCTGGGTCTCTTCTCTATTGAGATTGTAATTCCTGCCCTGAAGAATTTATCTGTTGCTATGTGTCTGCCCACTGCCTAAAACAGAGGCTCCCATCTTGTATTGTGGTAAACCTAGAGACCCCAACCACATCATGGGATTTCTGTTCACATTTTCACAGCTTGGAGGTTTGGAACCCTAGGAACAAGCTGGAATGACAGTCAAGATTTTGGGAATTTCTATTCTGCCAAATAAAACGGGGGGCATAAAGGAAGAAAAATAAACTGAACAGACTGTTTCCTGATTGTTTGGTTCAGAGCCATGTGAGCAAAAGGCAAAGCTCCCATACGCGTCAGGGCTACAGAAGGTCCTTTAGTTGGAAAGTTACATTGATAACTCATTCATGATACAGTAGAATTATTGATATCTTTACAGTGTGGATGCAGAGCTATTGTCAGATTATTCTGCAGTAGAATGGGTGTTCAGGAAAAAACAAAACAAAAGCTAAACACCTATGCTGACATCTCAGTTCCCTCCCATGGTTTGAGCTTCCTCCTCCAAATCAGGGGCCCCCTTCCTGTGGATCTTGCAAATTGCTGCATGAGTTAGGGTTTGCAAGACTGATGCCTGGGTATGTACAGCTGTTGTTAAAACCTACAATCTTATCATTTAAAGACATTGGGTCTCATCTTCTCATAGGGTGCAGTTGCTTTACATTGTATGGTAATCTGGCCTTACAGCAGGTCTAGGGAAAATCATCCAGTGCAAGGGTGATTCTTAAAGTTGTAGAGCCAGCCTAGGGGCTCCTAGACCATTCTCCCTCTCTGTTACTAGCATAGCAACAGGAAAATAAAAACTGGCTGGAGGAAAAGGGGCTTGTTCTGACTATCCCGTTACTATGCAGAACACTATTGGCATTTTCCATTTCCTGTGACTTTTGACTCAGGAAGTCAGGCCTCTAGAGAGCAGGAGCAGGGGAGTGCAAAGAGGAGCTTTGTGCTGATTTGTACTCTTTGCATTTTAGCTGTAGCCAAGCCTTTGGCCTAGTAAGTTTCCCTAGCAATAGAAATCCTGCACCTCATCTCCAACTCTGGGCCATGCTGTCTCCAGTCACTGGGTGGAGTGGGATGGAAGATGCAAGAATCCTACTCTTTCCTTGCACCCCACTAAATGGGAAAGGAAGAGGCAAGTTCACACATCACTGCCCGCTGGTGGGTGGGAACACATGCTATACCCTTTGTGATGCAATAGGCACACTTCCCCTTGCACGCACAGGAGCTCTGGCAGCCTTGTTGAGGCACAATGCCTCTTAGATCCATCTCTGCAGAGGAAGGGCTGCATCTGAACCGTGCAATCTGGCTGTGTCTTAAGGTAGAGGCAAAATATTTCTCTACCTTTCCAGCATTTCATACCTCCCATCTTTTACGGCCATATTTTAAATAAAAGTGGAAAAAATGTACATACACTTCCCCACCCCCTTTTTTCTGCTGTTTCCCCAGCACCTGCCACACTGAGCTGTCAACCACAGATGTGAGCGCCTTACAGTGTGTGGGTGGACTGAGATGTTCAGTGCTGCAGTCCGTAACTGACCTTGGTGTTCGAAAGCAGTGGGAACAAGAGCCGAAGAAAGATGATTCATTTAATGTAGTTAGCATTCTAGACCAGTGTGTCACCAAAAGGGGGATGGGAAGAAATCATGTATTTTTTTGTCAGTAGTATCAGATATAGTGGTGTTTTAGACCGGGGGGCGGGGGGGGCGGGATTAATATTCTTATACATTTCTGATGCCACCACCGCTCTTGCACTTATTTTAGGACAGTCATAGTAAGATGCCCCATTTTCCTTGATGGTTCTAACGTGGATAATTCCATTCTGCTTACTTACATTCTCCATGTAGTTTTCTAACCTTCCCCCCCCAACCCTTCCCCCTTTTTTTAAACCTACAGGTCACTTTGTAAGAGAGGGAACCTCTTACGTGGACTATATCTCCTCCCAGTCCTTCTCCTTATATCAATGCATTCTGTGGGCAACCAAGAAGAGCTCTCTGGGACAAGTGCTTGGCAGACCACAGCTTGAAATACTAGGAGATGGTATTCTTTGCTGCTTGCTGAAACTGTCATGCAGTATTGCTTTGCATTGTTATAGAGCTGTCTTGTTCCACTCCACTGGTAGTTATGCTTCATCATCATCATTTTGCAAAGCGACTCTTTTATAAAGAGGGCCAAATTCTGCTCTTGGATCCATGTGCTTGTTTCTCACTCAGTTCAACATTTGTAAAGCACTTTGGGATCCCTTGGACAGAGGGACATCCTATACGGGTACTGTACTGTAAAATGTTATGTTAATGCTTTCCTTTAGCCACTGAGTAAACAGGGTGTGGGTGTTTTTCTTTTAAAAACAAGAAAACAATCCTATGTTTAAGGGCTAGATTGCAATGCTCACCACATAAGGAATATGTTCAATTACTCAGTGAAGTCAATGGGACAACGCATGTAACTGCTCATCAGCCATAAGTAACAACTAGCCCTAAGTAACCACCTGTTAAAGTGGATATTTCCCTATTATCTTCCAAGTAGGAAGATGAACATTTTAGGCATTTATTAAGAGTGAAAAGAGGTATTTAACTATCTGACCACTCTCTAGATAGGGTATTAGAAGATACCACACTGTTAAATGGTATCATGAGTTAAAAAAAAAAAAAAAAAGATGGGGGGAAGGGTTGCTTTGGGATAGTCACAAGACTTAGAGACCTAAGTCTGGCATTGTTAAACCAGATTTGCAAAGGTGTGGGATCAGTAAGTATCCAGATCCTGATTGCGGTACTATCTGCTCCTACCGGTGTAAACTAGGTTAGAACTTCCTATTGCTCCAAAAGCAGAAAGAGCTGCCAGACTCATGAATGGGTGGTTTGGATTAAGCAGCACAGGGGCTCCAGTTTAATCAATTCTTCTGTCATTACAGTACACATGATTTACTACCCAAATAGTTTTAGGAGATAAAGAATGATCAACAAAATTCAAAACAAACTAATTGCATGTGTTTTGCTGGTTGATGGAATATTGGAGGTGCGAGTTCTATGGTATGATGCAATTGGGCCATCCTGAATCCAATAAAAGTTGTTAACTTTACCAGGATGTAACAGAGATGAGAAGGGTTTCCTGCAGCTCCATAAAAGGCAGTGATCCTACTCAAGTTTAATTTTATACTTCCATGTCTTCCATCCCTGAAACCCTGCCCTGCTTTTTAATAAGCAACTTTGGTTGTGTTTTAAAGCAGTTTCCATATATGTTCTTCTACTTTGAGGGTTACACTGGGAGACCCTTTGGTGACTTGTCCCTACTTAGGAGAAACCCTGCCTGAACAACGTGTGTCTTGTGTGTACTGAGATTTTTAGGGCCGTATCTTATTAGATGTAAAAGAGAAGCAATCAAAATGCTTTCACCCACTCCATTTTTTTTCCCAAAAGAAATTCACACCAAAAGCACTCTCTTGGTTTCCTGGGGTCTCCGATTTGTGTGGCCTGTGCATCTTGGAACTTGTATTGCAACCTCTCACTCAGGTGAGTGATCCTACTGAAGGGCTTATGTTCTTATGCATTACTGAAATCAGTGGGACCGTCCACTGATGTCAGTTAGCCCCAGGATGAAACCCTGTTTTGAGTAAGGACTAATCACATGGGTAAAGGACTGTAGGATTGGGCCTTTAGGCTGTAAAATTCTTGATGCAGGGGACCGTGTCGTCTTCCATGTCTTCTACAATGTGAAGCTCATCCTTGGCAATAAACAAAGCAAAATAATAATGGCATCTTTTAAGGAGCTCACCCCCATAGTATCTGCTTTGGCCTGCTTGTCTATGACAAACATGCAGCTGTAGATCTGACAAGAAAATATGTTGAAGAGGGAAATACTGGTTTCCAAACTGCAACTAGTTTTCTCTGCAATTATAATATGCAGGTTCAGTTTCAGCATAACTGTCAGTTAAGCCAGTTTTTCTGCAGTGTGACTGATAATAGCACTTATTAAAACTGAAGCTCAAATACCTAGATTAACATTTTGGCAGCATGAAATGAGAAGTTCTAAGGTTTTGGGCATTTTTAAGTACATGCCTAGACTGATTTTTCATTTCCTACACAAAAGATTAAAGGTAAGAAGGCAGGAGGGAAAGCACAAATGAAATCTTCAGGACAAATGAAATTCAAATGCCAAACCCAATGAGTTTAGCTTTGTTGCAAAAGCAAATGTGTTTATCTATAGCATAGGTTCTGTGGGACTGACAGCCACAAAAACTTTTGTCTGTTAAATGAACAGAGAAGTAGTTCAAGACAAATTTGAATTCCTTGCTAGACTTCGAAATATTTTCCAGCAGGATGACTAGCTAGTGCTGTGGTATAGTGAGCAGACCTTTCACTGCTGGAATGGCATGTTTAAATTTGGCACACGGGAGCAAACGAAATGGGGTTTGATGGTTGAAGCTTAGCCCACAGTTAACAGTAGCCTGCATCATTAAACCACACACGCACATATTGACACATATACAATTTTGGCTCCCCTGGCAGCTTTACAGAAAGAAGCTCATGAATGACTGAGCACTAAGTCTTAGTTACCCGCCTGTTCCCCAGGGGCTGATCACTTCAGGTCAGGCATGCAGTTTGCTTTTGGAATGTCGTAAGGAAGCTTGCCTTGAGCTTTTCTGTCCTGCTTCCCAGCACTGTGAATAAACAGAGAGCTTCAGTCCGCCTCCACTGTTACATCAGTCTCCTCAAGCTGCTGCGGCTTCTAAATTCCTGACCCTGAATTTTAACAAAATAAAGATTTTTTTTTCAAGTTTAAATTTAGACCGTAACATTATTTTGGGGTTTAAAATGTGTTTTCTCATGTCTCAATTAGTTTATTTTAGTAACAATTCATTTTCTCCTTCCTCTCCCCCTGAATATGTCCCCAAAACAGATATGTTTATTCAATTATTCAGTTCAAAGGGAGTGGGCACAGAGCTTTGACCTGCATTACCACCACTTCTTCGGTATTTTAAAATTATTTCCTTAAGAAAAAAAACACCAAACATTTTTTCAGCAATCCGTGTGCCTTCTCCTGCTCCCATTAAAGTTAATTACAGTAGTCCCACCACTTTAATAGGAGCAGGATTGGGCCCTATTTCAATCTGGTGTTCTCCATTCCAGTGCTCTTCTTTCTTTCTTTATTAACTGTATTTGTTCCTACTCCTCAGTCCTCCTCTGAGAGTCCCACCCCAGTGTGACATCCCAATTGGTTGCTGTGGAAATGATTAGATGACAGAGATTTATGATACCAAGTGAGAAATAAACACCAGAAGCAGATAAACTCTAAAGAAACAAAAGTTTAGTGTTTATAGGAATAAAAATGATTTATATCAACTGAGAGCTGCCCATTTAGAAACAATTCTACGTTTTCCATGAAATAGCTGCAAAGCCAGCTTTTGTGATCCACAAAACCCAGGAAGCATATGGAAGTGATTATAGGACAAGCCCAAATGTACCATAGGACTTTGGAATCTGCTTTTGGCTGAGGCCCTGATTCAGCAAGGCACATAAGCATGCGCCTAACTTTAAGCAGGTAAGTAGTCAATGGGGTTATTCATGGGTTTACTTAGGTACATACTTAGGTACTTGGCTGAATCGGGTTTGAGAGCCTTGACACCCAGCTCACTGTGCCTCATTTTAGGTGCAGTTGGCAGAGCTAGCAGAGTGAAGACCAGTGTTGTCTCTACTGTCCTACTCTGGGAAAACAGTGAGACCTGTTAACCAAGCCTTCTCTACCCTGAGAGAAAGGGGAAGGGAAAATCTGCTACTCTCCTTTTCCAGCCATGGTGGAAAGAACCACAATTTACTTTCCAGTTTTTCACAACCAAAATCAGAAGAGCAAAGAGGATGTGGGGAGAGAAGAAAGGAGAAGTTGAGGAGATGGGGTCTCCATGAATAATTATGTTGGGGTCTACTGAAACCATAAAACCAGCCCAGCCATTGGCTGCTTGCAGGATGGTACTTATGTTTGTAAGTAAGGATAGTGTTTACTTGGTTATACAGCAAATATACAGAGCTAAACTGAATTAAATGAGTTTACCCAGGTGCAACTGAGAAATGTGGCCCATTTGTTGTTATAAAAGGACATTATCAAATGTGATTTATATTATTATTATTTTATTATTACTTCTATTGTTCCTGCTAGAGCCATATTCAATATACCATCCTCACTCATTACACAGGCAAAGCTCCCAGTAAGTAAAGAAGGCTAAATCCATCTTGGAAACTGGAGGTTTTTTTCCTTACCAATTTTGGCCTTCTCCATTTAGCAAACATTGCTATTCCCTCCCAACCCTGTTTTCAATGGAGCCAAAGATAGCCATATTGGTTTCCACTCCATTACAAACACCAGGGGATGGGGAGGGGTTAATGTATGCCAAATGGAGAATGTCAAAACTGGTAGGAGGAAAAAATTATAGTCCCAAATCGATGTCAATAGCAGCTAATACGAACTATGATGCCAGAGGGCAAATCTTGGAACAGTGAATATTAGCTAGCTAGCTAATGGAAACCACACCAACAAGGGGAGTTCACACATTGATTTTTCATGGCTATTTATTTTTAGTGGTAAGTGTCTTCTGGGAAAAGAAAGTCTCTTCTACCCAGAGCTGGTGTCAGATTCTGGGACACATGGGTAATGGAGAAGAATACTTCCAGCTGAAGGTCTAAAACTAATAATACTTGATGACACCTGGGTCATATTTACTGAGTGTACAAAAAAGGAGAATATACTGACAAGAGAACCAACCCTAGACTGATGAATTTGACTGAGCTGGGGTGTGAGTGGGACAAAGGACTTGGTTTTTTAATTTGACTAGTCTGCATCAGTTTCATGTGCATGTATCCATTCTACAGTTACACTCTCTAAACACAGAATCTTTGGGGTGAGGAAGGAGGACTTTAGGATATCTGTCAGAGACGCGCTGCCATGGGAAAGTGACATTCCTTTGGGCACAGCCTCACAATTGCAATGGCTAATTGGCTCCAGCACTGTCATGTTAATTCCAGATGTGCCCCTTATGGCAGCAACATTTTCAGGAATGACACTAAATAAGAGGTTTCAGAGTAGCAGCCGTGTTAGTCTGTATTCACAAAAAGAAAAGGAGGACTTGTGGCACCTTAGAGACTAACCAATTTATTTGAGCATAAGCTTTCATGAGCTACAGCTCACCTCATCGGTGAAGTGAGCTGTAGCTCACGAAAGCTTATGCTCCAATAAATTGGTTAGTCTCTAAGGTGCTACAAGTCCTCCTTTTCTTTTTACTAAATAAGAGGGCAATAGCCATTAGTGCAAGGTACTTTGGGTAGGCAAAGTACCTGGCCTCTCCAGGGGGCTCTGATAGGGTTGCCAATTTTGGTTGGACGTATTCCTGGAGGTTTCTTTGCATGCCATAATCTTTAATTAAAGATTAATCTTTAATTTTTGGAGACCCCAGGCTAATCCTGGAGGGTTGACAACCCTAGGCTCTAAATACTGAAAAGCATGGAGCTTACTGCTTGGAACTGATCCTTTCTGCTCTGTCTCAGATGTTAGCATTACATTTGATGTGTTCCAATGTTCCAAAACTCTACATTCACTGCAGCTAGCAAACACTTTGTGGGGTCAAGCGGCCTATATTTTTTTAACGTATGTAACCTGCACCCATGTGGTGTCATGCTCTGTTCCCCTCTAGTGGGGGCTGGAGCACCTAGAGAGGCTGATGAGCCTGTGACAGCCTCAGCTAACAGAGAGGGATCTTTTGGCTCAGGCGGGAGAGGCTCATAGACTCAGAAATTTCAGCTTCAATAGCTGCTGCTGACAACTGACCCAGGGGCAAGGAGTTATGCTTATAAATAACTGAGCATGAGCAGAGCACTAACAACAGGCCATTAGGCTGGCCACACTGATCACATCTCTATTAATTGTAAAATTCTATTAACTGCATGCTTTCAAATGAATCACTAACTGCTAATGCTCTTTCATTTACCACTCAGCATCAGTCTGTGTCTGTAGTGAGAGAAAGGTGTGGTCTACTGCTCTGAGCACATGAGTGGGAGCTGGAAACTTCTGAGTTCCAACACTGACTCCTGCCATGGCTTTGGGAAGGTCACAACTCCCCTGCCTCAACTTCCCCCGTTAAAATGAGAATAAGAATGGTGACTTCTACCCCACAGGTGTAATGTGACAATTAATCAGACAGGCCTTGGAAGATGAAAAGCATTATATAGGTTCTACGTACAAACTCCCACTTCTGTTTTGTCAGACATCCATCATGTGATTCATGATAGTCTGCTCATGAGGAGGCACTGGTTGACTACTACGAGCAACAATGACAGTTTTGCACATTCAGATAGCGCTAGGGTTGCCAGGTGTCCAGTTTTTGACCGGAACAGCCGGTCGAAAATGGACCTTGGCAGCTCCGGTCAGCACAGCTGATTGGGCCATTAAAAGTCCAGTTGGCGTGGGGCCGGCAGGCTCCCTACTTGGTTCTGCGTGGCTCCCCAGAAGCGGCAACATGTCCATTGGCTCCTAGGTGGAAGGATGGCCATGGGGGCTCCGTGCGCTGCCCCAGCCCTGCCCTGAGTGACTGCTCCACAGCTCCCATTGGCCAGGAACCGTGACCAATGGGAGCTGCGGGGGCAGTGCCTGCAGGGGAAGGCAGCATGCAGAGCTGCCTGGCTGCACCTCCACCTAGGAGCTGAGGGACATGTCGCTGCTTGTGGGGAGCTGTCCGAGGTAAGCACTGCCTGGAGCCCGCACCCTTAAACTCCTCCCGCGCCCCAACCCCCGTCCCAGCTCCGAGCCCCCTCCCACATCCAAACGCCCTCCCAGAGCCTGCACCCCGAACTCTCTCCCATGCCCCAATCCGCTCCCTCAAGCCCCCTCCCGGACCCAAACACCCTCCTAGACCCTGCACCCTGAACCCCGTTCTGTGTCCCAATCCCCTGCCCCAGTTCAGAACCCCCTCCTGCACTCTGAACCCCTCTTCCCCAACCCCACCCCAGAGCCTGCACCCCCAGCCAGAGCCCTCACCCCCCTGCACCCCAACTCCCTACCACAGCCTGGATCCCCCTTCCACACCCTGAACCCCTCATTTCTGGCCCCATCCCAGAGCCTGCACCCCTATCCCAGAGCCCGTACTGCCTCCCACACCCCAACCTCCTGCCTCAGCATGGAGCCCCCTCCCACACTCCAAACCCCTCTGGCCCCACCCCAGAGGCTGCACCCCCAGCTGACACCCTCATCCCCTCCTGCAGCCCAGCCGCAGCCTGGTGAAAATGAGCAAGTGAGTGAGGGTGGGGGGAGAGTGAGCAACAGAGGGAGGGAGGATGGAGTGAGCAGGGGCAAAGCAATTTGTGCAGTTAGAGACTTGGCAACCCTAGATAGCGCCTTTGCATTAGCTTCTACAACAATATGCTAAGTTATGAAAAACAAATCTTTGACTGCATTGCATTGTTTCTTACAGTGCAAAATGAGGGACAAGTGCCCAGATATGGAGATAAGGTCACAAGAAGATCTGGCTTTTGCAAAAGTCAGAATAGTGATTGGGGTTATTCTTCACTGACATTATAGGGCCTGATTATTTCCTTCCTTACACCAGTTTTACACTGGTGTAATGCCTTTAATTGGATGGAGTTATTTCTGGTGTACGCTGGGGCAACTGCAGGCAGAATCAAACTTAAAGGGTAGGCCTATATACAAAAATTAAATTCACACAATGGCTTTTCTCTGGACTTTTTTATTTCCAGGTACA